GCATGAGTGAGTGACGCACGCATGAGTGAGTGACGCGTGAGTCGTGACGCATGAGTGAGTGACGCATGCATGAGTGAGTGACGCATGCATGAGTGAGTGACGCATGCATGAGTGAGTGACGCATGCATGAGTGAGTGACGCGTGACGCATGAGTGAGTGACGCGTGACGCATGAGTGAGTGACGCGTGACGCACCACAGGTCACTCACACACACACTGATACACAGCTGTATTAATCATCACACAATATTATACACAACCTGGGTGGTTGGCAGGTCGCTGGAGGTGGCCCAGCTGAGCGCCCAGGACCTGGACTACGGGGGGCGCGCGCCCCTTGTGTTCCACATCGCTGAGGGCGACGACGAGGGGCGCTTCGTCGTGGACGCCGCGTCAGGACGCGTCGTCGTCCGTAACGCCAGCGACATCGCGCCCGAGTATCGTCTCAAGGTGGGACCACTCAGAACAATTTCTGGGTCTAATTGTTCACACACTTTTTGATGCTCTTTTTACCGGACCAAGCCGGGACAAGAGCCCTTTTGGCGGGTCAAGAAGACGCACATAAGAGTCCTTTTACCGGGACCAAGACGGGTCAAGACGGTCCAAACAAGAGCCCTTTTACCGGGCCAAGACGGGTCAAGATGACCTATCAAGATGACCTACACAATGGCCAAAACTGCATCACTATTTGGTCCAAGTGTCCATTTCTCTGCTGCAGAAGGAATTTAAAAGCAAAGAGAACGCCAAGCAAGTTCACCATATCCATATTGAAAACGTTTCGGAGTCCATCTCTATCATCAGTTTGATAATCTAAAATATGAATACAATCATTTGATAACAATCTAAAAAATGAATACAATCGTTTTGTAATCGAAATTATAAATTGTTATGAATTGATTGTATTCATTGTTTAGATTGCTATCAAATGATTTTATTTATTTTTTTAGATTGTTATCAAATGATTGTATTCAATTTTTAGATTGTTATCAAACGATTGTATTGATTTCTTCGATTGTTATCAAATGATTTTATTCATTTCTGAGATAATCGCTATCTAGCTTTAATATTCTGTGTGAACTTGCAATATAAGCAGACTGATAAATCATAAACGTTCTCTGGTGCAGGTGGTGGTTAGCGACGGCGTGTTCTCCTCGAGCGCCATACTGCACATCAGAACAGAACCGCTGCCACGAACCTCTCTCCGGTTCAGCCAAGACAAATACTTCGCTGTGGTAGAGGAGAACCACAAGGAGGTGGAGACGGTTCTCCTGGTCCACGCCGTGGGCACGGAACTCAACGAGCACCTCGAGTTCCGCATCCTGAACCCCAGCCTCATGTTCTCCATCGGGGAGACCTCGGGGGTGCTCGTTACTACTGGCACGCCCTTTGACAGGGAAGAGCAGGACTCGTACCTGCTCGTGGTGGAGGTGAGCGGGACTCGTGGTGGAGGTAAGGACTCGTGGTGGAGGTGAGCAGGACTCCCTAAACAAAATTTAGAGCCGAGGGCGGCTCTGGATTAAGTATCGCCTAGGACTTGGGGAGCATAGTCCACCAGCTTCTCTATATGTCCGCTTTTCGGTCTACATTCCGGTCCCTGAATCGGACAGCTACAAGCGCCTGGTCCTTATTCTGCCAACTCTTGCCCTACTCTCAGGAGAACATAAAGTCGGCCAGGAGCTTCTGACTAGTTGCTGATTGCGATCAGTTGGCCAACTGACCCAGAATAACTCTTATGCGAACATAGCAACTCTCGGGAGGAGGCTGAAGCATACCTTGAATTTTATTAGGGTCGTGGTGGTGACATGTTATATATTGACAGATATGCTTGCATGTTATTAAATAAACATGTAGATTTATTAGCATTAACATTAATCTCATATTTCAGGTGCGAAGTTCGTTACCGGTGACGCCGCGGCGCGTGAATGACGTGTTACGACGTGTTGATGACACGTTACGACGTGTTGATGACGTGTTACGACGTGTTACGACGTGTTGATGACGTGTTACGACGTGTTGATAACGTGTTACGACGTGTTGATGACGTGTTACGACGTGTTGGTGACGTGTTACGACGTGTTGGTGACGTGTTACGACATGTTGGTGACGTGTTACGACATGTTGGTGACGTGTTACGACGTGTTGATAACGTGTTACGACGTGTTGATGACGTGTTACGACGTATTGGTGACGTGTTACGACGTATTGGTGACGTGTTACGACGTGTTGATGACGTGTTACGACGTATTGGTGACGTGTTACGACGTGTTGGTGACGTGTTACGACGTGTTGGTGACGTGTTACGACGTGTTGATGACACGTTACGACGTGTTGATGACACGTTACGACGTGTTATGACGTGTTACGGCGTGTTGATGACGTGTTACGATGTGTTACGATGTGTTGATAACGTGTTACGACGTGTTACGACGTGTTGATGACGTGCTATGACGTGTTGATGATACGTTACGACGTGCTATGACGTGTTGATGACACGTTACGACGTGTTGATGACGTGTTACGACGTACCTCGCTCCCTAATCCTCCTCACTCCCCCCAGAGGGCAACACGGCGGGGGCGTTCACCGTGGGTCTCAACAAGGGCGCCGTGACGCTCGCCCGCCCCCTGGACGCCGAGGCCGCGGACGCCTACAGCCTCACCATCGCCGTCACCGACGCCGTCCACACCGCCACCGTCATGGTGGGTAGTGTGGGGTGTGTAGTGTGTGATATGTGGTGTGTGGGGTGTGGTATGTAGGGTGGTGTGTGTGTAGTGTGTGGTGTGGTGTGTAGGGTGGGATGTAGTGTGTAGTATAGTGTGTGATGTGTAGTGTATGCTATGTGGTGTGTAGCAAGTGGTGTGTGGTGTGTAGTGTGGGGTGTGAGAAGTGGTGTGTGGGGTGTGTGATGTGTGGGGCGTGTTGTGTAGTGTGTGGTGTGTAGTGTGTGGGGCGTGGTGTGTGGTGTGTAGTGTGTGGGGCGTGGTGTGTGGTGTGTAGTGTGTGTGGTGTGTGGCAAGTGGTGTGGAGTGGTGTGTGGTGTACTGTGTGGGGTGTGGTGTGTAGTGTGTGGAGTGTGTGATGTGCAGTGTATGGCGTGTAGTGAGTGATGTGCAGTGTATGGTGTGTGGTGTGTCGTGTTTGGGTGATATGTAGTGTGTTGTGTGATGTGTAGTGTATGCCTCGAGGCTTGGGTCTGCCTCGATGGTCTACGGCTATGCGGTAGCTGGTCTAAGGGTCTGCCCTCCGCCGTGTTGAGGCTGGGCCCTGCCTCTGTGGAGTAGACGGGAGGGGTCTGTCTGAGGGGTCTCTCTCTGTACTGGTCTAAGGGTCTGACCTCCGAAATTTTTTAACCTAGAGAGGTCGTCCTGGAGAAGAACCTGTCACGCCGGTTAAATGCGCCGGTTGTTCTATTCGTTCTGCTTGTGCTGAGGAGTTAGGCAATTTTTTAACCGTCGGAAATGTAGGAAACGTAGCGTGAGAAGTGGGAGTTGGAAGTGTTCGGGCCAATCGTGTGACCTAAGATCTGTGTTCTTTTTAAACTATAAACGACTAGTGGAGTTTTGGGGTAGTGGAGTGGAGTAGTGGATAAACGACTAGTGGAGACTAGTGGATAACTAGTGGATGACTAGTGGAAGACAAAGAACTAGTGAAACTGACTAACATTGAGCGCCCACTACGCCCCCCACCCTCACCCCGCCCCGTCCCCCGGGCAGGTCTCTGTGTCTGTAGGGGACCGCAACGAGCATCGGCCGCGGTTCTCGCAGCCCCTGTACAAGGTGGAGGTGCGGGAGAGCGCCCCGCCGGGCACGCGGGTCCTGCTGCTGGCGGCGGAGGACCGAGACCGCGACCAGCACCTGCTCTACGCCATCGTCAACGCCGCGCACGTCAGGTCCCAGGGCCTCTTCACCCTGCACCCCGTCACTGGGGACCTCCTGCTGGCCGCGCCCCTCGACAGGTGGGTGCTGGGGGTGACCTGGGGGCAGGGGGTGAACTAGGGGGTGCTGGGGTGACCTGGGGGTGACCTCTTCACCCTGCACCCCGTCACTGGGGACCTCCTGCTGGCCGCNCTGTCTCTTATACACATCTAGATGTGTATAAGAGACAGCCCCCACAGGGAGGTGCAGAAGGAGCACCTGCTGACGCTGCAGGTGCAGGACCGCATCACGCCCCGGCAGCAGGACCTCTGCCGCGTCCTCGTCAGGGTCCTGGACCACAACGACCACGCGCCACTCTTCCTGCACGCCTCCTACAGCGCCTCCCTCGACCAGGACGCGCCCCTGGGCACCAGCGTCCTCACGGTCACCGCCGTCGACCGGGACCAGGGGGCCAACGGGGCCGTGACATACTCCATGGTGTCGGGTGTGTAGTGAGGGGCCAACGGGGCCGTGACGTGCTCCATGGTGTCGGGTGCGTTGTGAGGGCCCCATGGGGCCGTGACGTGCTCCATGGTGTCGGGTGTGTAGTGAGGGCCCCATAGGGCCGTGACATACTCCATGGTGTCGGGTGTGTAGTGAGGGCCCCATGGGGCCGTGACGTGCTCCATGGTGTCGGGTGTGTCGTGAGGGCCCCATGGGGCCGTGACGTACTCCATGGTGTCGGGTGTGTAGTGAGGGCCCCATAGGGCCGTGACATACTCCATGGTGTCGGGTGTGTAGTGCGGGCCCCATGGGGCCGTGTCATACTCCATATTGCTGTAATTCCCCTCAAATTTCCCACAATTTCCCCTCAAATTTCCAGCAAATCTCCCTCAACTTCCCCTCAAATTTTCCTTCATTTTCCCTCAAATTTCCCTCAAATCCCTCAAATTTCCCCACAATTTCTCTTCGATTTTCCCTCAATTTTCACTAAATTTTTCCTCTCAATTTCCCCTCAATTTTCCTTCAAATTTCCCTCAATTTCTCCCCTCTAATCAAGCCATGTGCCAGCAGGCAACGCTGGGGGGACGTTCGTGGTGTCTGCAGACGGGGGGCAGATCTCCCTGGCGCGCCCCCTGCCCCCCCACCGCCCCCCGCAGGAGTTCAGGCTGACGGTGAGGGCGGAGGACGGGGGCGCGCCCCCCCGGCACTCCCTCGTCAGCGTCGCCGTCGCCGTGCACATGTCCAGGACCGCGTCTCCCAGGTGAGGGTAGCGGCGACGAGGGCTGGACGTTTCCAGACACGATTATTTAAGTGCAAACTAATGTTTAGTGTGTGTAATTATGGATGGTTTGTGTAGTTCTCTACATTGCATTTCATCATGTATGGTGCATACTCATGTATGATGCGTATATCATTATGTATGGTGTATAACCATGTTTGCTGCGTATGTATCGTGCATTTCATCATTTATGGTGTATAATAATGTATGCTGCGTATGTATTACTTCATTAAACACGCCTCACGCCGCAGGTTCGCACAGCGCGACTACGTGTTCGAGGTGGGCGAAGGCGCCCGCGTGGGGGCGCTGGTGGGCGAGGTGGGCGTCGAGAGTCGTCTGGNTGCTTCATCATCCTGCTTCATCATCCTGCTTCATCATCCTGCTTCAACATCCTGCTTCATCATCCTGCTTCATCTTCCTGCTTCATCATCCTGCTTCATTATTCTACTTCATCATCCTGCTTCATCATCCTGCTTCATCATCCTGCTTCATCATCCTGCTTCATCATCCTGCTTCAACATCCTGCTTCATCATCCTGCTTCATCTTCCTGCTTCATCATCCTGCTTCATTATTCTACTTCATCATCCTGCTTCATCATCCTGCTTCATCATCCTGCTTCATCATCCTGCTTCATCATCCTGCTTCAACATCCTGCTTCATCATCCTGCTTCATCTTCCTGCTTCATCATCCTGCTTCATTATTCTACTTCATCATCCTGCTTCATCATCCTGCTTCATCATCCTGCTTCATCATCCTGCTTCATCATCCTGCTTCAACATCCTGCTTCATCATCCTGCTTCATCTTCCTGCTTCATCATCCTGCTTCATTATTCTACTTCATCATCCTGCTTCATCATCCTGCTTCATCATCCTGCTTCATCATCCTGCTTCATCATCCTGCTTCAACATCCTGCTTCATCATCCTGCTTCATCTTCCTGCTTCATCATCCTGCTTCATTATTCTACTTCATCATCCTGCTTCATCATCCTGCTTCATCATCCTGCTTCATCATCCTGCTTCATCATCCTGCTTCAACATCCTGCTTCATCATCCTGCTTCATCTTCCTGCTTCATCATCCTGCTTCATTATTCTACTTCATCATCCTGCTTCATTATCCTGCTTCATCAGTATTTTTCTAAGCCAAGCTTCACTTTTAATTCTATTTATTTTATGTTATTAATTTTGCACTTACGAAGCTCAAGGTCAAGTTAAGAATAAAGCTACGTTACCAGCCACGATTATTTATGTGCAAATTAATGTATATTGTGTGTAATTATGGATGGTTTGTGTAGGTATATACATTGCATGTAATCATGTATGATGACCTCACCCTCAGGGCCCAGTCCATGGTGAGCTGATGGCCTCACCCTCAGGGCCCAGTCCATGGTGAGCTGATGGCCTCACCCTCAGGGCCCAGTCCATGGTGAGCGTGTGGGCCTCACCCTCAGGGCCCAGTCCATGGTGAGCTGATGGCCTCAGCCTCAGGGCCCAGTCCATGGTGAGCTGAGGGCCTCACCCTCAGGGCCCAGTCCATGGTGAGCTGAGGGCCTCACCCTCGTGTTTCACACGAGACACTACATACATGAAATTATTAAATCCATAAATTATTAAGTAAAGTAATAATAAAGTATAAATTATTAAAGTAAAGTAATAAGTGATAATAATAATAATTATTATTATTATTACGAAATTATTTAATTCACAAGTCCCAAACACCACTAAATGCGCACAGCTTGAGCATGGCGAGTTTATGGTGAGTATGCACCGTGTGAGTGTGAAGAACATGTATGGTGATTGATGACGTACTCACCACGACGCTTGATGTGCAGAGTGGCCAGGAGTCGTGGTGTCGTGTGGTGATCAACATCCTGGACGAGAACGACAACGTGCCCGTGTTCACGCACACGACGTACCACGGGCACGTGTCCGAGGCCGGTCCCGCGAACACCGTGGTGCTGCTGCAGGGCCACAACTCCCCTCTGGTGGTGAGGGCAACGGACCGCGACTCTCAGCACAACGCGCGCCTCTTCTACGAGATCATTGAGGCCGAGGCCCGGCAGTACTTCTCCATAGACTCCGCTACAGGTTAGTATAGCTGCCTTCTCCATAGACTCTGCTACAGGTTAGTACAGCTGCCTTCTCACGCTTGTTGGGGGGGAGGCTCCGGTGGTGGCCGAAGGAGAGGTACCGGAAGAGGGGGGAGGTGGGCGAATGCAGGAAGGGTGGCCAGGAATGCCGCTGCCTCCACGGGGCTGTCCCACAGTGAGGAGACGCTGAGGGACGGGGCAGGCGAAAAGGTGCTGAACGGACTGGAGGGGATCCCTGCATTAAGGGGAAGCGGAGCTATGGGAGCGTCCGATCCCAGCGGAGTAGGACGCCCGGGAGCTGCAGTATCCCGAGCGGAGCTGGGATAGCGCCGAGCGGTAGGGTCGCGGGAGTGAAGCCTCCACTGCTGCAATCGGCGGTGGTGGGGCTGCGAAGACAGCGTTGTTATCGTCGGTCGCTGCAACGCGGGAGGCGATCTCCCTGCGGATGGAGCGTTTAGCCTCCCTATAGGCACCGGCGGACATGATGCCATTTGCCGGAAATGGTTTCAACATGATGGCCGAATCTCGACTGGATAGAGGTTTTCATGACGCGGTACCGAGGGGAGCAGAGGCAATATGGAATGAGGCATGGGAGGGCTGGAGGGCACTGGCGAGGAACTGGGCACAAACCAGGCCCAGGTTAGCGGGCAGGGGAAGGACGCCTGTCTCATGGTGAAGATGGGCGATCGGGGCCATTTTGAGGCAGCCGGTGGCTAGTCTCAGAGCAGAGTTTTGGATGGTTTGCAGGCTAGCTATTGCAGTGCGTTAAGCAACAGGGTACCAGATGGGGGCATCGTGTTTGAGGATTGGGGGCGTTATTGTCCGGTAGGTGGCAATGATGTCCTCCTTGGAGAAGCCCCAGTTAGTTAAAAGGGTGTAGGCAGGATTGGGGAGTGTCTGTGGTGTAGAGCGTGACGGAAGACTTGCCTGAAGCTACGGTCAATTTCGTGTCAGCCGACCAGTCTGAGACGCCCCGGCGAAGCCCGGCGAGGTCAGCCTCCGCAGCGTCGAGCCTCAGGGACGACACGAAGATAGTATATGAGGCAATATTGGGGGCTGCTACAAGTATATCAGAGATGAAGTGGTTTAATAGGGCCAGCGAGATGACGGAATCTTGGGGAACTCCTGAGTGAATTGTTCTGAGGGGAGATTGCGTTCTGAGGTAGAGGCAGGATGCCATCCTGCCTCTGAGGTAGCAGCACAGCCATCGGACCAGGTTGTGGTGTAGGTCCGAAACCGCGATCAAGCTCCGAAGGAGAGGGTGGTCGATATTATCCTCGTCAGTAACGCCTCCGTGACACCCCGTAACGCCTCAGTGACGTCTACCCATTTCCCATGTATCTCCCCCGTAACACCTCCGTAACTCTCTCTTGTAACGCCTCCGTAATGTCTACCCATCGCCCATGTAACGTCTCCGTTACTCCCCCCGTAATCCCCCAACAGGAGCCATCAGGACACTGGGTGTGGTGGACCACGAGGTGACGTAATAACACCCCCGTAACACCCCCGTAACCCTCCCGTAACACCCCGTAACCCCCCTACAGGAGCCATCAGGACGCTGGGTGTGGTGGACCACGAGGTGACGTAACGCGTGACGTTCAGCGTGAGTGTGCGTGACGAGGGCAGCCCGCGTCTCACGGCGCCGTCCCACGCCCGCGTCACCGTCGACGTCGACGACGTCAACGACGTCCCGCCGCGCTTCCTGCGTCAGCTCTACGACGCTACGTNTGAGCATGTTCTGTCTCTTATACACATCTAGATGTGTATAAGAGACAGACGCATGAGTGAGTGACGCACGCATGAGTGAGTGACGCACGCATGAGTGAGTGACGCACGCATGAGTGAGTGACGCGTGAGTCGTGACGCATGAGTGAGTGACGCATGCATGAGTGAGTGACGCATGCATGAGTGAGTGACGCATGCATGAGTGAGTGACGCATGCATGAGTGAGTGACGCGTGACGCATGAGTGAGTGACGCGTGACGCATGAGTGAGTGACGCGTGACGCACCACAGGTCACTCACACACACACTGATACACAGCTGTATTAATCATCACACAATATTATACACAACCTGGGTGGTTGGCAGGTCGCTGGAGGTGGCCCAGCTGAGCGCCCAGGACCTGGACTACGGGGGGCGCGCGCCCCTTGTGTTCCACATCGCTGAGGGCGACGACGAGGGGCGCTTCAGGACTCGTGGTGGAGGTGAGCAGGACTCGTGGTGGAGGTGAGCAGGACTCGTGGTGGAGGTGAGCGGGACTCTCCTAACAAAATTTAGAGCCGATAGCTACTCTTGATTAAGCAACGCCTAGGACTCGGGGAGCACAGTCCACCAGCTCCCTATGTCCGCTTTTCGGTCTACATTCCGGTCCCCGAATCAGACAGCTACTAGCGACTGGTCCTTATTCTGCCAACTCTTGCCCTACTCTCAGGAGACCATAAAGTCGGCAAGGAGGTTCTGACTAGTCGCTGGCTCGCTAATTGCGATCAGTTGGCCAACTGACCCAGAATAAATCTTACGCGAACAAAGCGACTCTGGGGAGGAGGCTGAAGACATACTTTGAATTTTGTTAGGGTCGTGGTGGTGACATGTTATAGTGACAGGTGTGCTTGCATGTTATTTAATATTTATGTAGAGTTAGTATCATTAATATTAATGACATATTTCAGGTACGCAGTTCCCTACCGGTGACGCCGCGGCGCGTGAGTCACGTGGTCGTGCAGGTCGTGGTGCTCGACAAGAACGACAACGCGCCTGTCTTCGTCAACACGCCCTACTTCGGCGTCCTGCCCGTCGACTCTCCTAAAGATTCTGTCGTCTTCAAGGTATGTGCCTTGAATATTATTCTCTAGAGTCTTTATTCTGAATAATATTATTTTTGTTGTCAAATTTTAGAAATATTTGTTGGGTATCAGATCAGGGTCCCGCAGTACGTTTAGTGGAGGCACGTCTGGCGTGTATGTGCAGACGATCCATTCCGCTTTCAAATCTGGTTCGTTTTTCGCGTTCAAATTTGGTTATTTTTTCAGGTTCAGGCGAAGCATTTCGCCTTTAAATCATGTTTGTTTTATTTCAGCTTCATTATACGTATTCCGCCTTCAAATTTTGCTTGTTTACCAGGTCCAGGCGGCGCATTCCTCCTTCAAATCTGATTCTGTTTTTAGGTTCAGACGATGAATTTCGCATTAAAATCTGGTTCGTCATTCAGGTTCAGGCGACAGATTTCGCCTTCAAATCTGTTTGTTTCCCAGGTTCAGGCGACAGATTTCGACGCAGACGAGAACAAAGACGTGCGGTACGAGCTGACGAGCGGCGAGGGCGACGTGTTCAGCGTGCACCGCACGACAGGCGACGTGCGCCTAGCCTTGAAATTTCTTTGTTTCCTAGGTTCAGGCGACAGATTTCGCCTTGAAATTTCTTTGTTTCCCAGGTTCAGGCGACGGACTTCGACGCAGACGAGAACAAAGACGTGCGGTACGAGCTGACGAGCGGCGAGGGCGACGTGTTCAGCGTGCACCGCACGACAGGCGACGTGCGCCTGCGACGACCGCTGCGAGGTCTCCTGCACGACTACGAGCTCGTCGTCGCTGCTTATGATGGAGGTCAGCTGTAGTAGAATGCATTAGTAAATAAAATAGATCACATGATTAGTTTTAATGGACGCGTTAAGAACCAAGTAATTAGTCAAATTTCGAAAATTTAAGAAATCAAATTTGAAAAAAAATCAAAGAGTTACGTGGAGGTCAGGGTTATTATTACGTGGAGCCCACGATTATTATTACTTGGTGGTCAGCTGTATTAGAATGCATTAGTAAATTAAATAGATCACATGATTAATTTCAATGAATGCCTTGAGAACCAAGTAATAAATCAAATTTCAAAAATTCCAAAAAAAAAACAAATTTAAAAAAAATCAAAGACATACGTGGAAGTCAAGATTATTAGTAGTCATTAGTAAATAAAATAGAATACATGATTAATTTCAATGAATGCGTTGAGAACAAAATAAAAAAAATGATTTTTTGGCGGTCGGGACAGCAATAATTTGACTGAATCTCCCTCATTGGAAGATTTTAGAGAATTACGAATTATTTTAACGTGAAAAGTCGAACATTGTTCGTGCCTCCTTCCAACATTGTTCATGTCATCTTCTCTCGTGATTTGTTCGGTATTGAAAGTTTATTATAAATAAAATTACCTAATCGGCATTAGCTAGAATGACTGATACAATTTTTTGATTTAAAAGAAAATTTTGTGAAAATTCAAAATAGAAAAACTCTGACACGGCTAGTAGCCCTGACGCCAGCTTTAGACCATCTGTTCAGACCGCGGAATTGGATTCCATAATACTGGTCAAAACTACGACTTGTAGCTCACAATAATATTAAATAAATAATTATTATTAGTATATTATTTATAGTTACCATAAATTAAATATAAATGTTTTTGATATTACTAGAAAGTTGTGGTTCACTTTGGTCTATAACATAGATATTTTATACTTAAAGTCGCTGACATAAATACCGCGGTGACTAAAGTAGCATGACGTTTTATATGTTTTTATATGTTTTATATGTTATATTTATTATATTATCATATTTGTTTTATTATATTTATAATTTTATATGTTATTATATGTTTTATATGTTCCATGTCCACCACAGGGCAACCGCCGCTGTCCTCCACCGCCGTTGTCCACCTGAAGGTGGTGGACAAGTCCCAGCCCATCTTCCGGCGTCAGTTCTACAGCGCTGACGTGCAGGAGTCAGCGGAGGTCAGCACTCCGGTGGTCAGCGTCGAGGCCTACAGTCAGCTCAACCGCAAGCTCTTCTACACCATCGTCAGCGGCGAGGGCCATCACCACTTCGGCATCATAACATATTTGTCTTTTTCTCAATTTCTTAAAACGTCGTGCAGCAATAATCTCAAATAATTTATATTGTAGTTCAATCATTTTTATTTATCTACATCCCTGCAAGTATTTATCTTTTATACTTCCAATTTTATTTTGTTTTACATCTTTTATACTTCAAATTCTATAGACGACAACATTCGCTTCGTTACCGCACTCCATCAATATATAAAAAATAAGTACCGAACTAAATTAGCTAATTTGCATTAGCTCGAACGATCAATTATTATTCTTCGATATGTTTTGTTTTTGTAACGCCACGAGAAATGCTTCTTAGAATAATAAAAATAATATTATATTCACGTATAAATTTACTTATTTATTCAGATTACTTGTAATAATTATTGTACTGCAGGCATCATCAGAGTCCATGACGTACTGGACTACGAGCAGCAGTCACGGTACGTTGTCACGGTACGGGCGCTGGACACGGTCACGGGCAAACACGCGGACGTGGAGGTGGCCGTGACCGTGACGGACAGCAACGATCACGCCCCGCGGTTCCCCGCGCCCTTCGTCAACGTCGAGGTGTCTGAGGGCGCCGCCATCGCTGCGCAGGTGCTGCTAGTGGTTACTAGTGTTGCTAGATCGTAACTAGTGGTGAAATGTAGTGTTGCTAGGTCATAACTAGTTATGAATTATAATGTTTTAAGCTCATAACTAGTGGTGAAATATAGTGTTTCTAGGTCATAAATAGTGGTGAAATATAAATAACCAGTGTTTTCTAGGACAAAACTAGTGTTGGAATTAATAACTAGTGTTTACTAGTGAACAACTAGTGTTTCTAGGTCATAACTAGTGTTAAAATATAAATAACTAGTGTTTACTAGTGAACAACTAGTGTTTCTAGGTCATAACTAGTGTTAAAATATAAATAACTAGTGTTTACTAGTGAACAACTAGTGTTTCTAGGTCATAACTAGTGTTAAAATATAAATAACTAGTGTTTACTAGTGAGCAACTAGTGTTTCTAGTCTCTGGGTCATAACAAGTGTTGAAATAAATCGCTACTTTTTTTTCTAAAAATAAGAATAACACGTATTTTTAGCTCATAACTAGTGTAATGTTAGTTAGTTAGTTAGTATTTCTACGTCGTTGTTTGATGCAAATGTCCTGAGCCAAAAAATACGAAAAAAGGCGAAAAGTACGATGTTCTGTACGAAAAGTAGTGAGCGGTGTTGTTCAATATAATTACAATGTTTTGCATCTGTTAATGTAGTTAACCATTCTCAAATATTGTATAGGTTATTAACTTGTATATATATCTTCTGTGTTTCGTTCATAAGTATTTTATATCGTTCACTATTCATCTAAATGACTAAACGTTCGACTAAATAAAACTCACTAAAAAAACTAAACTTACTCTAATAGCGATTTACCTTTTACCCTTGTTTACTTCATCCTTACCAGTTCCGTCCGTGAAAATGGCGTATTAGTGCTAGTGCAGAAGTGTGTTATTATTTGGGCAGTTTGAGACACATTTCATTCTTTCAGTGTATATGCTTGTTCAAATTTATTTGACCGTTGATATCTGAACGCAGGTGCAATATGGGCAGTTCGATCCATTTAATTTCCTTAGTATGAAAATGTTGTTCAAGTTCATTCCACCCTTTATTCCTGAACGCAGGTGTAATATGGGCAGTTCGACCCATTTAATTTCCTTAGTATGTAAATATTGTTCAAGTTTATTTGACCTTTGATTCCTGAACGCAGGTGCTGCAGGTGCAAGCGGCCGACGACGACACCGGTGACAACGGCCGCATAAGCTACATGCTCGAGGAAGACAACCGCGACAACGACAACTTCTACATGGATAACAACTCTGGTGTTGTTGTCCTCAAGCGCAGTCTGGACCGAGAGAGACAAGCGTCCCACATGCTCACTATCGTCGCCACTGATAAGGGGTCCCCGCCCCTCTCGTCCACTGCATACGCGCTTGTTAATGGTGAGCATGTTGGCCATTAAGAAATAATATAGTAAGGATTGAGATGATTGTGATGTGTAGAAGTAACCATAGGGTATTGTGTACGTGGTAGGTTGATGGTGATGGGTATATACATGTGTATATGTCGTCTGATATTTTCCATTTGACATTAATGTTGTCGTACGTTTGGCATTGCATTGCTGGACATGACATCTTATTACTAATGTTGTCGGACGTCAGGCATTGCTACGCTGGACATGACATTTTACCACCAATGTTGTCGTACGTCTGGCATTGCAGTGCTGCACATGACATTTTACCACTAACGTTGTCGTACGTCTGATATTGCAGCTCTGACATGACATAAATCACTAATGTTGTCGTACGTCTGGCCTTGCAGCGCTGTACATGACATATACGTAATTACTAGTGTCGTATGTATGACATTGCAGTGCTGGACATGACATTTTATTACTAGTGTCGTACGTCTGGTATTGCAGCGCTGGACATGACAGTTTATAACTAAAGTCGTACGTATGGTATTGCAGCGCTGGACATGACAGTTTATAACTAAAGTCGTACGTCTAGTATTGCAGCGCTGGACATGACAGCTTATAACTAATGTCGTACGTCTGGCCTTGCAGTGCTGGACTTGAACTCACTAATGTTGTCGTACGTCTGTCCTTGCAGTGTTGGACATGAACGACAACCCGCCAGAGCCGGAGCAGCCGTCAGTGCGGTGCAGAGTGTCGCAGGGGGCGCCACGCAACCACTTCGTCGCGCTCGTCGCCGCGCACGACGAGGACGTCGATGACGCAGACAAGCTCGTCTACGCCATCGTCAGCGGCAACACAGCGCAGGCCTTCAACATCGAGCCCGACACTGGTCAGTGTTGCGGGAACATTTACACTGCTTTCAGGTGGTATTTTTATGTTGATTCTTGACGTTCCTGTAAATGTTCTACTGCAGTAATCGAATGAAATAATTTATTCACTGCAAGTTTTGAATGCCGCGAAAATGATGTATGGTTATTTGATGTAGTGGTCCCCAGACTACGGTCAATTTGGGCTATAATTTTTTTTCTTTGGGCTATAATTCTCTTATTATTGCAACACTTCTCTTTAACTTCAGTTCTTGTTTGTCTGCTAGAAATCTTATAATATATATTTAACACATTTCTAACTGTCCAATCTATCTGAAATTTTGCACACTTGCTTAAAGTCGCAGACTATGCATGAATCAATTGACAGAATAATTAATTTTAAAATTTAAAAAATATACTTTTTATATTTTAAAATAAATATTAGAAATACCGTATAGTTTTTTAATATTTAAAAATAAAGTAAGAAATTCATTGTACATGTGTAACATTGGAGACACTGGCCTCTCTAGAAGTGTTGTCTATAAAAAATAATTTTTAAACGCATATTATTCATACTGCTTTCTGTTGGTGTTTTTTTCATGACACCTCATGACTTTTCTGTACTGCAATAATCGAAAAAAATAATTTATTCATTGCACGTATTGAATGCCGTGTGAATGATATATGGTTATTTGATGAAGTGATACTCAGACTACGGGTTAATTTGGGCTATAATTCTATTTTTCTGGGGTCAAAATGGCTTACAAAAATAAATAAATGATTTAGTTTGGTATAAAGTTTGATAACTCGGGAAATGTTGGTTAGTGTGGCATGTGTTAAATTAGGTAGAAAGATGGACAACTGGGGACAGCACTAGTATAGTGCTATTCCTACCTGAAGTGCCACCACCAGCACTAGTATAATTCTATTCCTACCTGAATAACACGGCACTTATTTGGCAACAAGCACTCAGGGACACATGCAAGACATTGTCTAAATGTGGATGCATTCTTTAGCTCTATATGTGTCGTCCTAACCCGGTTTCTCCCCATTCATGACCCATGTATGGACAACATGACCCATGTATGGACAACATAACCCATGTATGGACAACATAACCCATATATGGACAACATAACCCATGTATGGACAACATGACCATATATGGACAACATGACCTATGTATGGACAACATGACCCATGTATGGACAACATGACCATATATGGACAACATGACCTATGTATGGACAACATGACCCATGTATGGACAACATGACCATATATGGACAACATGACCTATGTATGGACAACATGACCCATGTATGGACAACATGACCATATATGGACAACATGACCTATGTATGGACAACATGACCCATGTATGGACAACATGACCATATATGGACAACATGACCTATGTATGGACAACATGACCCATGTATGGACAACATGACCATATATGGACAACATGACCTATGTATGGACAACATGACCCATGTATGGACAACATGACCATATATGGACAACATGACCTATGTATGGACAACATGACCCATGTATGGACAACATGACCATATATGGACAACATGACCTATGTATGGACAACATGACCCATGTATGGACAACATGACCATATATGGACAACATGACCTATGTATGGACAACATGACCCATGTATGGACAACATGACCATATATGGACAACATGACCTATGTATGGACAACATGACCCATGTATGGACAACATGACCATATATGGACAACATGACCTATGTATGGACAACATGACCCATGTATGGACAACATGACCATATATGGACAACATGACCNCACCCTTCCCTCACACCACCCTTCCCTCACACCACCCTTCCCTCACATCACCCTCCCCTCACAGTGCCCGTCCCTCACGTGCTCGTCCCTCACACCACCCTTCCCTCACGTGCCCGTCCCTCACGTGCCCGTCCCTCACGTGCCCGTCCCTCACGTGCCCGTCCCTCTCGTGCCCGTCCCTCACGTGCCCGTCCCTTACGTGCCCGTCCCGCAGGTGGCAGAGAACGGGCCCGCGGGGACGCCCGTGGTGCAGGTGGAGGCACGGGACCGGGACCAAGGAACCTACGGGCACGTGACGTACCACCTGCTGGGGGACGTCGCCAGCAAGTACCTGCGCGTCGACAGGAGCTCTGGTACGTCCCGTGGTTACTGTCAACATGTCTCTGCCAACATGTTTTCAGTTTCAGCATTCAGTTACTAAATTTTCTAATTCATTAGTCTCATTCATTAGACACTTAATCTATTCTATATATGTGCAAGCCTACTACTATTGTGTTTGTATATTTCACAGAGAAAAATACACTGATAAAGATAGAGAAATCATCTTGATAAAGATAAAAATGCACTTTAAGACACAAATAAATGCCTTGTCAGATAAAGGTAATAAACGCACTGTGAGATAAACATAATTGATGCACTGTAAGATAAACATAATAAATGCACTGTATGATAAAGATGTGAGATAAATATAAAAATGGTACCAAATTACCCGTCGACCGCCAGGCGAGGTATGGACGGCGGCCGAGCTTGACCGCGAGCTGACGCCAGTTCTGTCCTTCACGGTGATGGCCGTGGACGGCGGCGGACGGACGGGCTTCAGCGCTCTGTCCGTCGCCGTGATGGACGAAAACGACAACAAACCGCAGTTTGAGTTCCGCAAATACCGAGCGCTGGTAGCGAGCAACCACAGCAGACAGCAACCATTGCTTAAGGTGACCATTAGTAACCCTAACCTAACACTGCACCTTACTAGTCCTAGTCAACCTAACACTGCACCTTACTAATCCTTGTCAACCTAACACTGCACCTTACTAACCCTAGTCAACCTAGCCAGCCACCCATTGCTCACGATGGATTAGGTTAATGGCACTAATATCATATTTAATTTATTTATTAACCTTATGATGAAAAAAACTAACTCGTGGTGCATAATTCCTGACGTTTACGTTACCGTTCGGCAGGTGACGGCGCACGACGCAGACGTGGACGTTAACGGGACGGTGCGGTACGTCTTCCACGCGAGCACGTCATCCGCCGCCCTCGCCGCCCTCACAAGAGAAATGATAGCAATAAAATTAACTTTAAAACTATTAACTATAATAGTTAATAACTATTAACTATATTAACTATTAAATTAGCTTTAAAATAAGAAGTTTATCCACCAGAGCCCGGGACGACATTGGAGGTGCTGGTGGAGGCGAGGGATGGAGGAGACCCAGGCGTGTGCAGTGCAGTTATCCACGTCACTGATCCACTGCAAGCCACGCCGCGCTTCCTCTCATCCACCTACAACTTCAGCGTGCCGGAGAACGCTTCCACCGGTCTGATATAATGCTAATTTAATGATATTTAATTATTATTTATTAAATATTGATTAAAATTTTTTATTATCATTATTAAATAATAATTATTATTAATATTAATTTTATTTAATTATTTTAAATAATAATTATATTTAATGATTATTATTATTTATTATTTATTTAATACTTCGATTCAACGCCCAGAGAAATTAGCGAAACTTTGTCCAAATATCGATTTACTTTTTTCCTAATTGTGTCGGTCATATTGACACAGTCTGGCCCAGAAATTGTGTATCAGTGGATACAGTGGGTCACTATTTAGACAAAATGACTCTAGCAATTTTCTGGGTGAAAAATTAACTCCGTAAGCTAAGATCTATTCAGGCGTTGAAATAACCTTGAATTTTTTTTAACTTTTATTAAGAAAAATTCACTGCTGGTAAATGTTGTTTCAGCCTCATTTGCCGGGAAGATACAGATTGACGTTGAAATAACGGTAAATAAACGTTATTTCAACGAAATTAACTCATAATAAACGTTTTTTGAACGTCATTTGTCTGTAAGATACCGATTGACGTTGTAATAACGTTAAACAAACGTTGTTTCAGCGAAATGAACTCGTAATCAACGTTTTTTGAACGTCATTTTTGTATAAGATACGGATTGACGTTGAAATAACGTTAAATAAACGTTGTTTCAACGAAATTAACTCGTAATCAACGTTTTATGACCGTCATTTGCCTGGAAGATACGGATTAACGGTGAAATAACGTTAAATAAACGTTATTTCAGTGCAATAAACTCATAATAAACGTTTTAAGACCGTCATTTGCCTGGAAGATACAGATTAACGGTGAAATAACGTTAAATAAACGTGTGCAATAAATTCATAATGAACTTTTTTGACCGTCATTTGCCTGGAGAATTTCATCGCAATAACCTGTTGGTGTTACAGGTTCTGTTCTGGGGTCCGTGGAGGCGACCTGGAGCCTGGAGCAGAGCATGGAGCACGGCATGGAGTACACCGTGGAGTGGTCACGTGAGCAGGAGTCTGCTCCTGTGAGCGTGACGCCCTCAGGTCAGCTCCTGCTCACCAGTCTGCTCGACCGCGAGTCGTGGGACGTGGCCAGCATGCGGGTCACTGCTACGCCTGCCGTCTACCCGCACCTGGCTGTGTCTACCCGTGTCTACCTGCAGGTCAGTCTACCAGCGTCTACCCGCAGGTCAGTCTACCCGCGTCTACCTGCAGGTCAGTCTACCAGCGTCTACCTGCAGGTCACGAGTGTTCAGTTGAAACATTATTTATATAATATAATGTAATAAAGCCTAAAATGTATGTAATAATATATGATATAGTGTGATGTAATAAAATAAAATAATATGATTTAATATATTAGTCCAGTTGAAATATTACTTATAAAATATAGTAATGTAATAAAGCATAATATAGTATAATATAAGATGTATGTAATGATATGATATAGTATTATGTAATAAAATATAATATATTACATGCTTTCAGTTTCAACGGGTATTGATTTCAACTCTAGTTTAAATAAGCATGCACATAACCATAAGCTATGGTATTCGTACCTGTAGGCCTGGTAACGAGAGTTACCCTCAGTATACGAGGGGTTACAAACCCTCTGAACCTAACCCCTATAGCGGGGACACGGGAAACTGTACAAAACTTTATCTTTGTACAGTTTTTTTTAAACTGTACGAAACTTTAGTTTTGTACGTTTCTTCCTTTTCACTGAAAAATATGAATAAATATTCATGGCAATAAAATGTCTTACAGAAATGAATTTATTCAACGAGATTGGAGTTCATGAGAACAGAAATCTTGCGAAAATGTCTACTGATTTGAATGCAATATAACAACAAAATTTAACGTAGCAAATATGAACAAGCGTAATATTTGGGTCTATATTCAAGAAAAGTCATAATTAAATTAATATATCAACCTAGCAGTTGTTCTAAACAACAGCAATGTCGCCTATAATTAAAGGCTATAATACTAGTGTAAATTTTTAATTAATATTGAATGCATTTGGAAGACTAGGAGGTTTTTATTAAGATGTGGCGTGAACCAAACATTAACCGTGGTTCTGAACCGTGCTATAGAGGCTTGAGTTAGCTTCAATTTTCAAATTTTTATATGAAGAAATGAAGCAGGTTGCCCTCACAACTGCATGAAGTGTTGGTAATCTTAGCCGGGCAAATTGAATCATGAAAAAGTCAAACACAAATGATAATCTTATCTGAACGGAAATTATCTTATGATAGATAAGAATTGTATAGCGAAGCTGAAATTTATCCTCTAGATCTTATTTGTTATTTACTTTATTTCTTCGCATTATGAATGACTCAGATTCATGAATATGAATGAATAACTCAAAATCATTAATAACTCACATCTGAATGATAATCTTATCTGAAGGGAAATTATCTTATGAAAGATAAGATATTTAAACAGAAGCTAAAGGTGGGGGGTGAGGGAAAACTAAGCATCTAAATCTTACTCATTATTCAGTTTATATCTTCGCATCAAATGTGAACGATGAATATTTCATGCCACCATTAGTCTTCTGGTTTACTAATAATTTCTAGATGAAAACAAAAGCTAAAGATGCGCGGGGATATTTTTACATGAGCTCTTAGTATTAGCGTGCGTTGAAATGACCGAGCGTCTTCAAAAACAAGTATCTATCAATACTTGTTAACCCTCCACCGCCGCATGTCACTCTCCGGGAACATAACCTTCAATTTAAGTTATAAGTAAAATATTAATATGTATAAAGCATTAATAGTTTACGTATAATATAATTATACATAAATTATTAATGCGTTTAAATTATTAATAGTTTACGTAGTTTACGTATAATATAATTATAGGTAAACTATTGAGTGTAGCAACCTGAGGACGTTTGTACGCAACAGAGAACATTTTAAAGTCGTACGTGGCGGCAACCATCAGTGCAAGTCATTTTGCGCTCACTAGAACCTATCCTTTTTGGGTAGAATTCGTATTTTACAATAGTATGCAAAACGGAAGATATTTGTATTATATAATATTATAGAAGGCTAGTGGCAATGTCACTCCGGTTACTCGTGTCAGGCGGTAGAGGGTTAACATTTAAAGGTATATACCTATCAATACCTATTGGAACTTAATAATACCTTGCAGTAATACCTAATAATCCCTATTAATACCTCTAATTACGCAGTCGAGGCGTACGACGACGACGCGGGCATCAAAAAGCATAATATAGTATATTATAGTATAATATAAAATATATGTAATAATCTAAGATATAGTATGATGCAATAAAATATAATATATTACATGCTTTCAGTTTCAACGAGTATTGATTTCAACTATTGTTTAAATAAGCACATAACCATCAGCAATGCTATTCCTACCTGTAGGCCTGGTAACGAGAGTTACCCTCAGTATACGAGGGGTTAAAAAACTCCCCGAACCTAACCCCTGTAGCGGGGGACACGGGGAACTGTACAAAACTCTAGCTTTTCCGTGGAAAGTATGAATAAATTCCAGCTACATGGTAGTGGAAATGAAATTTCTTGGAGAAATGAATTTATTCAACGGGATTGGAGTTCATGACAACACTGAAATCTTGCGAAAATACTAATTGAATTGAATGAAATTTAACACCAAAATTTAAGGGTGGTAAATAAGAACGAGCGTAATACGCTATTTATGTTTCAGGAAAGTTTTAATTAATATATCAACCTAGTAGCTGTTCTAAAAAATAATAAAGTCGTCTATAAGCTGAAGCGTACTAATTAAGGGCTTAGGGCTGGGGTTAGCTTCAATCTTCTAATTTGGATTAATTAATTCAATCTTTGAGGTTAATTCAAATTCAATCAATTCTAATTTCTAATTCAATTCAGGACTGCAAGAGATGGTTGGAATTGTAGCCGGTGAATTTAAATCAAGGATAACTCAAACCTGAATGATAATCTTATCTCAACGGAAATTATCTTATGAAAGATAAGAATTTCATACAAAAGCTGATGTGGGGGGGGGGGAATTAATCCTCTAAATCTTACTCATATTCCTACTCTTCGCTTCAAATATGAACGATGAAAATTTCGTGCCACCATTAGTGTTCTGGTTTACTAATAATTTCTAGATGAAAACAAGAGCTAGAGATGCGCGGGGATGTTTTCTACCTTAGCTCATAGTATTTTCGTGCGTTGATATGACCAAGCGTCTTCAGGGACGCTTCACCTTACTAACAATTGATATCTATCAATACTTGTTAACGCTCTACCGCCGTATGTCACTCTCCGGGAACATAAATTTCAACCTAAATTATACGTAAACTATTGAGTGTAACAACCTGAGGACGTTTGTACGCAACAGAGAACATTTTAAAGTTGTCGTACGTGGTGGCAACCATCAGTGCAAGTCATTCTGCGCTCACTAGAACCTATCCTTTTTGGGGAGTAGGAATCCTTTGGGAACGTATCCTTGGTGCCAATATTGCTCCGGTTACTCGTGTCAGGCGGTATAGGGTTAAAACCTAAAGGTAATAGACGATGTTCTAGTGTAGTGACGTGTAGTGATGATGTTCTAGTGACGTGTAGTGACGATGTTGACGATGTTAACCCTCTAAATACATTCTCCTCTTATATAGTTTAATGTGATTTATATTGATTCTTTTGTGGTACCTATCAATACCTATAGGAACTTAATATTACCTTGCAATAATAATCGCTATAAATACCCCTCAATTACTCTAAATACGCAGTCGAGGCGTACGACGACGACGCGGGCATCAATGCAGAGCTGCGCTACCTCCTCCAGGAGGGCGGCGCCCCTGTGGTTGAAGAGGGGGGCGGCGCCCCTGAACCCCTGTTCCTGCTGGACCCCTACACGGGGTGGCTCTCCCTCAACCGACCCCTGGGGGTCAACCACAACCCCGTCTACAACCTCGTCGTGAGTTGAATAACGTTACTCACGTACGTTACTCACGTACGTTACTCACGTACGTTACTCTCGTACGTTACTCACGTAGGTTACTCACGTACGTTACTCACGTACGTTACTCACGTACGTTACTCACGTACGTTACTCACGCACGTTACTCACGTACGTTACTCACGCACGTTACTCACGTACGTTACTCACGTACGTTTCTCACGTATACGTTACTCACGTACGTTGCTCGCGTACGGTACTCACGTACGTTACTCAGGTACGTTACGACGTGCAGGTGGAGGTACGTGACGCAGGCAGTCCGCCGCAGACGTGCTCGTGTGAGGTGCAGGTCGTCGTGACGGAGGACAGCCACCGTCCGCTGGCCTTCACCAGCACCCGCTACTCCGGGGCAGGTAACTCCGATAATGCATGTTATTTTTAATAATGTTTATAGTTTAATGTGATTTATACTATATATTATTACTCCCATAATGCATATTATTAATAATGTAAAGACTTTGATGGGATATATATTGAATATTATTATTAAAATATATAGTTTAATGTGATTTATATTGATTCTTTGGTGGTACGTTTATAGAAATCTTGCAACATGTTATTGTTAATAATGTAAGTACTTTATTGGGATTTGTACTAAATATTATCATTAACGTAAATTGTATGATGTGATTTATATTGTTTATTTGGTAGTACGTTTATCAAAATGTCATAAGTAAAAAGACAGTAACGTTACAATCTCGGCGTTTCTGTCCTCCTCTTAACCACGTTCTCTGTCCTCCTGTTAACCACGCTCTGTCCTCCAGTGCCGGAGGACAGCGAGCCCGGCACGGTGGTCACTACGGTCTCTGTACGTGAACGTGACGTACATAAGCCCGTTACTAACGTCCAAGAGGGTCCCGAACTTGCCGACGTCGCTTTCTACATCACGGCCGGCGACGTCCGACGTCAGTTCGCTGTACGGACGTCGGGAGAGGTCTACGTCCGCCGCAGGCTGGACCGTGAGGACGTCGAGACGTACCACCTGACCGTGACGGCCACCGACGGTACCAACGTCGTCCAAGTGCCCGTCACCATCGACGTAATAGATGTGGATGGTACGTTTCGATATGAACGTGCGTTAACGTCGATTAACCGTTTTTTTATCTGAAAGGAAGGGTAAATTTTCGAATTTTCCACTTTTTTCCTCTCAATTTAATTGCTAAGTTTTTTTTTTTTGCGGAAGGAAGGGTAAATTTCGAAAAATTTTCAGTTTTTTTCCTCTCAATTTAATTACTAATTTTTTTTACGGAAGCAAGGGTAAATTTTCTAATTTTTTGTTTAGTTTTTGCTCTAAATTGAATTACTAAACCCCGATGTCTGCAGACCACGCGCCCGTCTGTACGTCGCCGTCTTACGACGTCGCGGTCTCGGAGGACGTAGAGCTGGGGACGGTCGTAGCTCAAGTCTCCGTCTACGACCCAGACCTCAACTCCAGTCCACGGTTCCTGCTGATGGACACGGAGGACTCTAACCCGTTCACGGTGGACGTGGACACGGGCCACGTGACCGTATCCTCTCCTCTTGACCGTGAAACACGTCCGGACTTCAGCCTCCTGGTGACCGTTATTGACGGGCAAAACACGGACTGGAAATGTTACTCCCGGGTTAACGTCCGCGTCACGGACGTTAATGATAACCGTCCACGGTTCAGTGAGCAGAGCTACACGGTTAACCTGCCTGAGAACTCACCCGAGAACCGGCAACTGATGAAGCTACATGCCGTTGACGGGGACACTGGCAACAACGGGCGCGTCAGCTACTCCGTTGACGGGGACCCTGTGTTCCTGGTTGACAGGTTGACAGGAATACTGAGCGTGACGGAACAATTAGACAGGGAAGAACGGGCCATGTACAACCTAACCGTCACGGCCACGGACCACGGGACGCCGTCCCTGTCAACGCACGTCACCGTCCTGGTCTTAATTACCGTCCCTCATTACCGTCCCTCATTACCCTCAGTCAAGCGTGTCTCTTCCATCTAACTTCTTCTCATTACAGTTAATCAGTTGAAGTTAATCATGAATGGAAGTGAATGCCTCCCTCTCTTTATTCTAAAAATTAATCAGCCAGTCGAAATAAATCATCAGTTAACATGAAAAAAATGCTTTACTGATAACACTTATAACTAACAGCTAACTTACCCTGATCTCCCTTCACTCTATAATTGATCAGTATATCCTTGAAGGAACTGAATGCTCTAGTTACTTCATATTACTCATACCTGAACTCATATTAGCGCAAGTAACTAACCTTAACCCCCCTCAATGAATGCCTGCTGACAACATTTGTTTCAGTGCGCTCCCTCTTTCATTCTATAATTAATTAGCCAGTCGAATTAAACCATTATTTAACTATGAATCTAACCGAACTATTTATACAACTCCAATTAGTGCAGGTAACTAACCTTAACCCCCCTCCCCCCCGCGGCAGTGCCTCCCCCTCTTTTATTATATAATTTTTTAAATTTATATTTAAATCATTATTTAACTATGAATGTAACTGAACTATTAACACAACTCCAATTTTATTATATTAGTTCAGGTAACAAACCTAACCCAACCTCAACCCCCCACCTCCCTTAAACCTAACCCAACCTCAACCCCCCCCCTATAGACATGAACGACAACCCCCCTAATCTTAACCCCCCCTAGACATGAACGACAATCCCCCCTAACCTCAACCCCCCAGACATGAACGACAACCCCCCCGAGTTCGCGAGCCACACGTACCACACGACCATCCCTGAGAGCGCCCGCGTCAGCACCGACGTGACGCGCGTCCTTGCCAACTCCAGGGACGTCGGCGTCAACGCGCACATCTCCTACAGCATCATCGGGGGCAACGAGCACCGCAAGTTCGCCATACATCCAAAGACTGGTGCGTAGATGGTAGATCTCCTACTAGTACTAGTAGGTAATAGTAGATCTCCTACCAGCAGTGCGTAGATAGTAGATCTCCGACAGCATCATCGGGGGCAACGAGCACCGCAAGTTCGCCATACATTCAAAGACTGGTGCGTAGATATATCCGTGCTCATCGATTAAGCTCTGCCTGAGGATCGGGTTACGCGACTAAGGTCGTGGAAGATAAGTAAGACACATGTGTCTGATAACATATCTTGTGTACGGGGTGGTAATACAGAGTTAAGATACAGAGGTATAAGCTACGGCGTTGACCGTAAGGTCGGAGAACTCAGCCGACGCGTTACATCGCTGAGCGCTTATCAACTAAACCAGGCAACCGTCAACGTCACCATCACCGACGTCAACGACAACGCCCCGATATTCATCCAGAACTCCTACTCTGCCCTCGTCAGCGAGGGCGCCGCCATCCATGACCGCCTCCTACAGGTTGGTCTTTCAGTTTTAATATATATATATATATATATTTTTTTTTAGAAATCCGTGACTCTTGATTTAATTGTTCTGTTAATGAGAAGTGAAATTCATTTTTTATCTTTTATTGCATTTTGTTGAGCACAATTAAAGGAAAACTGTCACAGATTCGCGAGACTTCAATTACGCCTCAGTTGATGGAGGATATTTTTTATATGGGGCTTATTTATAAAATTTACTTATGACCTCATACATTCATTTTACTCAATAAAGAAAATTTTACGCAAAATACATTGTTTACGCGGTGCACTTACTATGGAGTGCACTCGGGAAAATTAATGGGCCACATTATTCTAATAATTACGCACTTTCTTCTCAACACAAAACTAGGGAGCGGACTACCGTTGATACGCCATTTTTTCTGAGTCAAGATGATCCACAAAAATGCAAAAATACTTGTTTCACAGTCAATAGCATCTAAATGGCGCTATTTAAACACCATTTAGGAGAAAATGTATCGCTTTTTAGGACAAAATGTATCGTTGTTTAGTACAAGTTTTAACTAATTTTCTGCATGCATTCGCGAGTGCAGGTGGTTGCCAGCGACCAGGACGAAGGTGTGAACGGTGAGATCAGCTACTCCATCCTGCGGGGCGACGGCGCCCACGAGTTCAGCGTGAACCCCAGCAGCGGCTGGATCTCCGTCGCCAAGAAGCTTGACCGCGAGGCCACCAAGTCCTACACGCTGGAGCTGCTGGCGCTGGACCACGGCATCCCTCAGCGGACGGGGTCTGTTACGGTCTACATCGACGTCACCGACGAGAACGACAACCCGCCGGTCTTCGAGGGCGGCACACACTCGGTCTACGTCAAGGTCTGTTGCCTTCCTACTGCTGTAGGGACGACAGCCACTCCGTCAACGTCAAGGTCTGTTGCCTTCCTTCTCCTTTAGGACGGCAGCTCACGCCGAGATTATCTCTGTGCCATCAACATGGAACAAAAACTAAGGGATAATAAAGATTTTTACTAGGATTTTTAATTAACTAACGAGTATTTTCTGGAGAATCCTTCTCTTAACACTTTTATACGCCAAAATTATTTCCGATTAAAAATTTGCAAAAATTATTTCGGATTAAACTATTGCAGTGGTTTTCCGTTATCTTATTAATAATAAAATAAACTATTGTGGAGTAAAGATGGCTTTCACTCAAACAAATTGTTTTAAAGTAGAAATAAGAAGAAGGAGCGACATCCCATTGCTGGATTTGTCTTGTGTCGTTTGCGGTGCCAAAACGTGTGTTTACCGCTTCCATTAAACCGTATAATTTTTTTAATGATCCGAATGTTTGAAGCAAGTATAAGACTTGCAGTAAGTTTATAAGTTCTCTCCTTGTTCTGAGGCAGTCCGTTCATCTTCGAGATTTGGTCCGGAAACTCGGACAATGCGTTCCGCATTACGGAGTCCGGACAACTGCGGACAGCTGCTATACTCGACCACCGACTCCGCAATCTCTACAAACTCCAGATCAGAGTTTACGACAGCGGCAACCCGCCTCTGTACTCAGAGACCTGGCTTGACGTAAAGGTAGGTTACTACGACTTGTCAGGTCCTTCGACCTGTCAGGTCCTATGACTTGTCAGTTCCTACCACTCATCCACTGCTGATTCGTTGGGTTCATTGTGCTACATCTTCTCAGTGAAACGAGTGACACCTAATCCGAAAATCGATGCATTTTTGCTCGTGTGTGCAAAACGTGGGGGTTGTCCAGAAAGAGAACGGAGCAGAACTACGTTAAAAAATATCACTATTGGGACAATTTGACCGATCCATTTCACTTAGTGGTACTGACTGATACATTTCACTTAACGTTACTCCATATTTTTGCCCGGCAGGTTATCGAAGAGTCGCAATATCCTCCCGTTGTGCTGCCCTTCCAAGTCACCATGTTCGTCAGATCGGCCGACTACACCGGCGGAGATATCGGTAGAGTCACTGCGTCTGACCAGGACGCCTACGACGTCCTAAGTTACGGCATCGTAAGTTCGGCGCGAGACTCCAGGTACTTCACTGTTGGTCGGACGACCGGGGTGCTGTCCATCAAAGGGCATCTTGACGAAGGCCAGTACTCAGTCAATGTGTCCGTCACGGATGAAAAGTTCGTGACGTACAGCGAAGCGAACGTCGAAGTTGTTGACGTCACGCAGGACATGCTCGATAACGCGGTCATCGTGACAATCGCTGGTGTGGCTCCTGAAGAGTTCTACGTCTCCTACAGGAGAAGTTTCCATCGTGGCATACGGTCAATACTCAACGTCAAATCTCGCGACGTTGTCATACTTTCCATCCAGTTGACGACTTCACGCAGACGTCGCGACAGCGGCAGGAAGAACGTACAGAACGTGTCGAGCTACCAGGAGGAGATAGAAGTCTTATTTGTGGTCAAGAAAGGCAAGAAAGATTATTTCCCCAGAAATTTCGTCCGTAAACGCTTGATGTCTGAACTGCAAACCCTGGAACAGTCGCTGTCTCTCGCGATCACCGACGTCGCTGAGAACCAATGCCAGCAGATGATCTGCGCCAACGGCCGCTGCGAGGACCAAATCCTTCTTGGGAAGGAACAGCAGTTGATATCCACCGACGTGATGGGCTTCTTGTCATTCCGACACATCCACCGCGGCGTGTGTGTGTGCCAGGCTGGATATGGTGGCTCTATTTGTGACGAGATTGTTAACGAATGCGCCTTCCAGCCTTGCCCTTTGTACAAGGAGTGCGTGCCTAACTCCTCATCCCTGGGATACGCGTGTGTATGTCCTGATGGCCTCGTAGGCGCTACCTGTTCACAGCCCAAAGAAGCCTGCATTGGGAAGGAGAACACGCCGACTTGCTACATGGCGGAAGCGCCCTTCTCCTTCCAGGGCAAGAGTTACGTGCAATATCAGCTCCACGTGCCCATCGAGCGACATTTTTCCTTCTCTGTCTGGTTCAGGACGCTCTATCCTTCCGGCAACATCATGTTCACGGCCGGCAGACTGGATTACGCCATACTCGAGGTAGGTATAAAGAAGCAAATCTTTATTTATTACTGGATTCTTGAAGTAATAAGAACCAAATCTCCATGGATTATAGGAGACTCGAGGTATTAAGAACCGAATCACGAAGTTCAGCCAGCACTGTCTAACTTTTTTCACTTGATACCAAGTCATTCTCGTGTTAACTTGAGTGATATCAATTGGGCATTCAATAATCAATACTTTGTATGCTCGAGAGTTTAAAACTCCCATTTATGTTTAAAAAATCGTTTTACTTGATGATTAAAAGTGAATGATGACGATCTAATTTGATGATGGCTATAGTTTTGATTTTCAACGTCTTCACAAGCCCAATGAATGTTATGATAACATCATTACCCCTTCCCCAGTTATCGGGGAGCAGAGTGCAGTACCGCTGGGACCTGGGCAGTGGGGAGGGCCGCCTGCAGGTTATGTCTCCTCCCCTCAACGACTCCCAGTGGCACCACGTGTTCCTGGAGCGCCTCGGCTCCTCCGTTCGCCTGAAGGTGGACAACCTGCATCAGGCGGAAGGATCCTCTCCAGGTTCCAGTGAAATGCTAAACCTGGAGAAACCTGACTTGTACCTTGGAGCTGAGGTGCGGGCTTGGGCAGGGGCTACTGACCCGCGACAAGGACTCGCGGGATGCATGGATGACCCACGGGTGTACGACTCCAAGTTGCCTGTGACCCTGATGACGTCCAGCACTGCCACCCTCGTACGGCTCACTAAAGTGGCTCAGCACTGCTACGGCTCCCTGCGTGATCCCGGGGTCTGTGGCACCCATCCTTGTCTCAACGGCGGCACTTGCGAGGAAAAAGACAACTCTTTCGTGTGCCAGTGTCCCTCAAGATTCAAAGGCGCTCGATGTGAAGCGGACTCCGACCCTTGCGCGTCCTCCCCTTGCCTCAACAAGGGCAGGTGTTCCAACGTCGGGGACTCGTTCATGTGCCACTGTCCTCTGAACATCACCGGCACTCGCTGCCAGCACATGTACTGTAACCCCAACCCATGTCAGAATAAAGGCATTTGTGAGGAAGGAATATCAGGACCTATATGCATGTGTCATGGATTCGTTGGCCTCACTTGTGACATCGACATCAACGAATGCGAGAAGAACCCGTGTCCCAACAAGGCCCTTTGTATCAACACCCTCGGCAGCTACCGGTGCGAGTGTCCTGAAGGAGTGTCAGGATCCATGTGCGCTCTCCCTGATAGTCCTACTATGCTTTCCAAGTTCAAATTGGTAAGTTGATTATACCATTAAACCTCAATATTTTGCAGCAAAGATGTTAGTAAGAAAAGTTATTCTTCGTTCTTAATTTATTCCAAGTTCAGATTAGTGAGGAACTTCATTACTTCTCATCTATTACTTACTTCCGTCCGCTGACGCTGCTGTCTGCTGACGCTGCTGTCTGCCGTCAGGTGATCTACGCGATCGCTGGGATCTGTGCGCTGACGCTGCTGACGATCACGGCGCTGTTGGTGGTGCTGTGCGTGCGACGTCGCCGGCCGGGGGGCGTCCGCCCCTCCTACGCCGAGGGGGCGGCGGCGCCCCCCAAGCAGACCGACACCTGCAGCAGACCTGGCAAACTGAGTGGCGCTGACACGCCCCCCGTGAGTGGTGGGGGAGGTTGTGTTGTGGTGTGGGATGAGTGGGGTTGTGTAGTGGAGTGGTCATTCTACGTGTGAGTGACACTTGCGAGTGGCACTAGGGAGTGGTGTGTGAGTGACTCTAGCGAGTGGTATTAGGTGTGAGATTGGCTGTAGCGAGTGGTGTGGTTGGCACTAGGAAGTGGTGTGGGTAGCACTAGCGAGTGGTGTGAGTAGAAACTAGCGCTCTATTCTCTTGTCTGAACTAGCCAAGGTAAGGCGCCCAACACAGCGTTCTAGTGCACGCCAGCCAAGCGCTAGTGCACTAGTTTTTCTATTGGTTTTGTTTTAAAAAAATTCGAATTCTAAACACATCGAGACTAGTGTGTGCATGAACCAGAGACGTGAACCATAGCCTAGCTAGTGCCTGGTTAGTGCTACCATAGAACTAGTTCTTCCACCGCACCTATTTTACTAGACTCCACATGTGGCTGCACTTAATCTCTAGATTATTCGATTTTAAATCACATCGAAGTTTTTTTTTTGCACTTATTCAACTTTTTTCAGTTTTGCTGTCTTGCTATAACATGTGAAATAGTCTGTACTGTGTGGTTTTCATTTAATTTTGTGTTATATTTTTCGTTTTTCCAAGTTTTTCGTTCCGTTTTGCCTGCAGATTCACCACCACCACCACCCCCTGAACCGACATGGGTGTTCCCCCGACTCTTTCTCCTCCCCCTCCCCCCACACCGACCCCCTCTACATGCCCCTTAACAACTTCGATGCCATACGAAGCTACTCCCCCGCCCCCCGTCACGACCCCCTCGACAACCCCCGTAATTTCGTCCACAACATACGAAGAAATCCCCACGCCCCCCACAACACCCTACCCCCTGCATGCGGCAACCCCACCACCTCCTCCAAGTACCTGGGGGGCGACGGCCACTCCCCATACCCTGGGGACTCGTGTCGTTCCGTCAGGACTCTGCCCCCTGGGGCGACGCCCCCCCAGTCCACCAGCCCCCACCACGTCTACAAAGACGTCCTCAGCCACAACCTCAAGGAGGCGTACTATGACGAGGGCAAGATACCTAATGGTTAGTACCGTGCCTAATGGTTAGTACCGTGCCTAATGGTTAGTACCGTGCCTAATGGTTATAATGGTTAGTGCCGTGCCTAATGGTTAGTACCGTGCCTAATGGTTAGTACCTACCGTGCCTAGCCTAATGGTTAGTACCTACCGTGTACGTTGCACATCGTCGACGTGGTTTAGATGCCGTCGCTGTGATGTTGATGTTGCACTTGAGTCGCCATATCCTTAACTGCCTGCCAGCAATTAGCTGCTTTCAAGTAAATAAAAGCTCATTACACTCCATGACAACAGCTGCTAAAGACTAAAAGCTATCCATGTTGCCATGCGTAACTGGCACTGTACATCACAGGCACTGTACATCACTGGTACTGCACATCGCTCGATCACCGAACTTGATGCCAGATCCATCAGTTTATTAAGTGCAGATGGCCACGCGATAACTTTTTTACACCAGCTGACCGCGAAAGTAATGTTCAAATGTTGCCATATCCTGGACTCAGTCTTGGTCGAGAACCACGACATTCACGATACAAGACTTCGATAAATTAACATAGAACGCACATTATACACTGTGAATCGAGCGTTTAATATTAGTGATTCACCTTAATATGGGACTTTTTCAATATTATAGTAAGTTGCATTTCGGTCACACGTCGCAGATTTTGTATCATTGTCGATCATCATATGTTTAGGTCTCATCTTTATATTTCCATTGCACAATATTATATTCACTGCCTTAAATAATACCTTGACACAATAACCAGCATGACAAGTAATGCATTCTAGCCACGCTAGTCATCACAGAAAGTCATCATAACTCGTCATCACCACTCATCATAACACGTCATGCATCATAACAGACGTGATGTTCGGCGGGGGGGCGTCATGTGGGCGCTGCCTGACGGGGGCCTGCCGTGATGCCCTGGCGCGCTCACCGGGCGCCGAGTGTCCAGGTTAGCGCTCATCATATTACAAGTAATCAGGATTTTACATATTATTTAACGTAGGTCATTAACCTTACTGGCTAGCGCTCATCGCATTGCGACGTATTTTACATATTATTATATACCGTACACGGTCATTAATCTTACAGGTTAGCGCTCATCATATTACAAGCATTTAGGATTTTACATATTACAGGTATTATTATTTATCGTAGGTCATTATTCTTACAGGTTAGCGCTCATCGTATTAGAACGAGCAAATAAATATTTTTATATATTATTATTTAAAGTAGGCCTTATCTTACAGGTTAGCGCTTATTGTATAACGATAAGCAAATAAACATTTTACATATTATTATTTACCGTAGGTCATTAATCTTACAGGTTAGCGCTCATGGATAACTTTGGCATGAGTCTAGAGCGAAGAAAACTTCAGTCGCGAACTAAATTCGTTCATATTGAACGCTGACGAGAAATGAAAGCGGTTAGCGTTGAATTCAGTACAACCGTTAATGATAAGCATTTACTAGTATAATCAATAACTTTTGTAGGCTTAAGCTGCCAGATGCCTTAAAAGAAAATTAAGAGAAACATTAGGTCGGCTCATTTTTCAAACATGCACTGGCTAATCTCGGGATATGAACATCCATGTTGTTTCTCACGTTTCAAACGCCTGTAACTTCGATCAGAGTTTCTGGGTGCTGTTGCCGTCTGTCGGATCAATCATTTTACCTGCGAATTCTCATGCCGAACGCCGCAAATTTGCCATTCATTTTTCATTCACTTTATTTTCAAACGCCATCATCTTTGTCACCATTGCTAACATGGCTGGTAATTATAACACCGTAACAATAACCTCATTATACTCAAGACGAGTAAATGTTTGGGTCAGAAAATATTATTGCATGGAAAGTCAGGTGCTGGTTTTGGATTGATATGTAATAAAACAGGCTGTTTGACAGCTGTGTTTTGCTTCAGTTATGTAGCAGCTCTTTAATATTTGTCTTTTGATTGAGATATAAAGCGGAAGCTCTATTATATTTGTTTTGGTCGAGATATACCGTATAGTGAAGGCTCTATTATATTTCCTAATTTTAACTCTACATAATATGCTAGAAATTTCCAATTATGACAAAATTTCCAATTCACAAAATTGGATGAAATTGTCGCTATTGCGCTGGAACAGCGACCAAGCTAAACACTCGCATCACAGAGCGCTGATACGAATAACTTTGAATTCAACAATCGTATATGACATACAACAACAATCATGTATGATACACAACAACAATCATGTATGAGATACAACAACAATCATGTATGACATACAACAATAATCATGTATGACATACAACAACAAACATGTATGACATACAACAACAATCATGTATGACATACAACAACAATCGTGTATGACATTCAACAACAGTCGTGTATGACATTCAACAACAGTCGTGTATGACATTCAACAACAATATTTCTGTATTTCAATTTATATTTCAATTCTTCAGCTATAGATCTGGAGCGTCCGCTCATCTTGAGCTTTCGGTCTCTTCGTCATTTTCTGCTTCCTTTCTAACTCATCAAAAAATTTTCCTCAGAAATTAGAGTTTTTCGCTCATGAATAATTTTTTGCTCATGAATTAGCAGCTCTTGCTCCATCTACGTAACGCTTACCTATAATGTGTTCACGTTACATGTTCCTTCATTATTGCTCACCGTACAATAATCTTTCTACTCCAAGTAGATAATCTTCCTGCTAATCCACGATGTTGCTGCTGCAGGCTACCATTGGGACTGTTCCGACTGGACTGGACTTACTCAAAGTCCACTACCGAATATCATCGAAGTCCCCGGACACGAGCTGCCCGACACCTCCAGCTTCCACTCCAACGAGTCCAACGAGTCCCTACCCCTACAGTCCCCACACAAGTCCAACCTGCAGTCCATCCGTCCACCAGGTCTGATATTCTTACTGTCCTCAGGTGCTGTTCTGTCCATCCGTCCACCAGGTCTGATATTCTTACAGTCCTCAGGTGATATTCCGTCCATCCGTCCACCAGTCTAATATCGACACGCGCTGCTGACAAGTATCCTACATAAGTCTTCTCACCAGACGCTACTTTCAAGTTATTTCTTCAATAAATTTGTGTAAAACTTTAAGTAAAAACCTGCATTAGTATAATAAAAATCACAATAATCACAATATTCTCATCCCTCACTCACCATCTCACCATCCCTCACTCACCATCTCACCACCCCTCACTGACCATCTCACCATCCCTCACTCACCATTTCACCATCCCTCACTCATCATCTCACCATCCCTCACTCACCATCTCACCACCCCTCACTCACGATCACTTGTCCCCTCGCAGTGGTGAGGTTAGTGAACCCTGAGCGTGACATGGACACGCTGGCAGCGGACGAGCTCACCAGCGACTGCGGCACAGACTTCGAGCTCGACTCCAGACCAGACCTCGAGCCTTCGCTGGGCGGCGTAGACCCTGGCGCTGAGTCTGATACTTCCTTGTTTGTTCCTCAGCCGCAAAAGTAAGGGAAACTTGAGTCTTACATTTATTTGTAATTAATTCAGTCTAAAAATTGATTAAAAGTGTAGTCCCGTGTTTCTTCTATTTTTTGCTTAATTAGAACGAAACAAGAGACTAAAAAGTCCCGTGCTAATTAGAAAAAAATAATCCATGGGCCATAAAGCCATCCATGATCTTATGTTGCGGCGCTTCCGTTAAGTCTAGCGATTCTTTCATACCTTGACGATTTTTAGATGTCTTTACAATAATAGTAAAATCATATTTTAAGATAATAATATAGTAATAATATAATCATATATTCATACTTATATTACGCCAATTCTTGAAATCGTGTCGGGACTTGTGTGATTAAATTTTTACTTACTTTTGTTCGATGCAAACTTGTAGTTCCTTGTAGTCGAAAGGATTCATAAAGTTTTCAGTTTCATTGGCTAATCATAAAATGAATTCAAGATCTTGAGTTAATGTTGCCTGTTTGATTGCAGGTACAAATCTCATCCCAACCAGTACCTGCCTCGCTACCAAAGTAGTGAAACTGACGCCGAGGAAGAGAGACTTAAACTACTTAACAACGAGCCCTTGGCTTCTCCCCAGTCAGCCTCCAGGTTCCACCCTGGGCACAAGTCCACGTCTTCAGCAAAGTCTCCTCCTCACCCAAGACGATCTCCGCACCAGGACGCTGCGTCCCGCCCCTCAGGATCTCATAGCGATGCTAAATCTTCACCAACGAACAAACAAGGACCAAACGCCTCCAGCCAAGCGGCGGTCTCCCCTGGGACGCCCACCTCCAGGTTCCCTAGGATGGGTATAATGAAATCGTCGGAGCCCACGACGCCGGAGGTCGGCTGGGACCATCGGCCTAGCTCGTCTCGTGGGGACGATGCGTCATTTAAAGTGCGCCACAACCGCCGTGTTGGTGCCGGGGCACAGCAGGACGAAGCCGACCAATTCGAGGTGATGTCGCTGTGCGGCGGCAACGACGCGAACACGTCCATGTCTGACGTCGAGAATCTGTGCGAGATCGAGGATTCCGAGATCAACTCGGAATTTGAAAACTGATTTTATGATGAGAGTAGATAGAAAATTCATTCATCTGAGATAAAACATTCTCGTGGCAGTGGATTTCAGTCAATTTAATAACATTGAAACGCAGTTATTATGGTGAACTGATGAACCAGACGTGTTTTATTTATGAGACAGTTTCGTTCCTTTATTACACGGTAAAAAATCGAGCGCTCCGATAACTAAAAGATTCTCACTGTTAACGTGACCACACAGAGAACTGTTATAGTAAATGGCAATGTGAGTTACGTGAGAGTTGAGTGCTTCCACTTCTGCAGGGAAGAGTTTGCTTGCATGAACAAAGTTTCGTAAGTGTACTTCTAGTGCGATGGTGCTATTTATAAGGAATCCTATATGCCTTCACACACATTCTCCTGTGCGGTCCGTAGGTTTTTCTTTTTCGGACTCCACTTGTATTTTATTTAAGAGAAAGGAAATATTTATTGTAGCTGAATATAGTAAGGACATTCTTCCCTTCGGCAATATCTTATAATCGGAACAAACTTAAGGGACTGGCGGCCGAATACAGCAAATGCTTGATGATGTAAACAGCAGACATGCAAAGGTAGAGTCAGAGCTTACGACCATCGCAGTGCTGTGGTTGCCGCCTCCTGGTAGATACTGGTTATTATAACGTGGGACCACAACGCTTTTATTACCTATAGGTACCTAGTACGGTCACGACTGATCCATGTATAACCTTGTTGTAGTTGGTGGTAATGATGCTGATTCTCTAGTATTTATTATTGTGCCAAACTTTATGTAGTGGAATTCATAGCAACGCGGCGCGGGTGCTAGCAGCTGTGCTCGCTTCACTTAATATTATCTTTTCCTATTACCTATTAAATAGAATGTTGCTTGTTTAGGTTATCGTTTCCGGCTCCTACTTCAATGACAGTTTGTCTTACTTATATTTTATACAAATGAAAATATGTTAATTTGTGTTATTTCTTTTGTAAGTATTCTTTAATTTTGAATTGTACAATTTTTCACGTAGGCTCGGGAGATCCACAGTTAGCTCGATCATTGTCCTGGTTATGTTTTAAGTAATTCTCAGTCCCAAGCACGGCAAAGTTTCGACTAATTTTACGTCATCGTTAGAATTCTGCGGTCGTAGGAAGCGTTCACTTATAAAAATTCGATCTCGTCCAAAATTGAGGTGTAATTTTTGTGTAAAATCATCGTTATTTAGTTAATACCGGCGACGGGGCGTACTATCAGATGTGTGCAGGTATTATAATAATCTGATGTATGTAGGTATTATTTGACATTATAATCCATTAATTGCTATTAGTGTTCGGGTGACTCAGGGAGGCTATGTTGTGTCAGCATAAAATTGTAGCATTTTAGGTCGTCATTTTTATTGTGTTATGTTGTGTTGTTCGTAGTCGCGGCGAAAAGGGGAGGAGGGATAATTTTGAAGCGTTATGAATGTTGCGGTTGATAACGTGCGTAATTCAACCTTGAAACGGCTTACGAATGTGGCGGTTATGAATCGTGTTAGATGAGCCTGGATTGCAAGCATATTACGACCGCGTCAGTTTTGTTCAATGCATTAGACTAGTGAACCACAATTGTAAATTAAATAATTTTTTAGCAAATGCAACCGAATTTTGCTGGTAATGAGAACAATTACGTGATTGTCAAGGCAGCTGTTGAGGATGCGTCTTATTGTTGATCTTATGAATTCTTAATGTAAGTGAATAATGTAAGTGAATGTCAAACGGTGCTGAATGTACACATGTATATCATATACCACTTTATACCTAACTTCCAGTCATATACATTCGAAACACATTCTCGGGAATAAATATTTCATCCTGGAACGGACGAACTTTTTTCTTTCCCCCGAGTGATTACATTCAAAATTCAACACGTTATTACAATAGTGTTGCAGATGTGTTATATAATACTGAGCCTTTTTAAATCACGATTTTGCATTTAATCCTGAATGCGCTGAAGAATTATCGCTGGCGGGAAGCGTCACTTCGGTCTGTAGCCGAGCTGAGTGCGCATCTCTGATCAATAAATGTTCATGAGAACGCATGTTAACATGGGACGTTAGGAGACGTTTAACACGTTGACTACGAAGTGGTACATATACGTACCACGAAATGTATTTCTCCAGGACGTGGTGGTACATAATTCAGGTTGCCTAAAGTTGGCCAAATCCGAGAACAAAAAAGGCCGATAACTCAAAATATACTAGTTTATTTGTAGGTTCTGCTATAAAAATTCCAGTCATTTTATTTTTGCACTATTTAAAATTTAAATAGGAACTACCCCTACCAAAAATTTTAGCCGGCCAACGCAATTGAGAAAAACTAAATCACGGAATTGGTCCGGAAAAAATGACCGTCTGGCAACCCTGCTTAAAAAAAGTACAAAAAAAAATGAAATAATAGTACAAGATGAAGCAATCGTAGTCAACGTGTTAAAGAAATGTATACGTGATGAGACGTACGGATGACAAGAGAAATGCCAACCCAGTAACGTCAACACTCTCCAAGAAGGTGCACCGAGGTTGCTCATAAGAACGGAGTGCGGTACGGCGGCAAATATGAGTTGTATAGAAGAGGACCAATTATTACAGTTTGCATGAACGACTGAATAGGTAAACTACCATTCACCCCGAATAAAACCTGACCATATACCGCCGATAAAAACCTTATAATTTACCCCGATTGATCGAGCACTCCCAATAGTTTTTAAACCACCGTCGGCGTTTTTTTTAATAACTATTCGTTACTAAAAATCCGAGACTTAACCTAGAGTGAGCGTCCCAATCAATCAAGATGTATGATACTTTTGTAGGATATATAATTGATTTTAATTATTCAAATACCTTTCAGAACCGAGGTGCTCATCTATATTAATCAACACAAAGCTATATAGTACTTTATCCCAAAAGTATCACATACTACCAAGACAAATCATTAGAACGAATTCAAATATATTAATTCTATTCGAGTTACCTTTCATCGATATGAAGAATATTCATAGTGATTACATTGCTTGTGATATGCCCTTCGCCGCGTTTCAAGAACTGTGTAATTAAACGAATAAAGTACCTTATAGTTTTGTGTTGATTAATAAAGGTGAACACCTCGGCTCTGGAAAGTATTTCAAAAATTCAAATCAATTATACATCCGAAAGAAGCATTGGATTGAGTATCATGATTGAGTGGGACGCTCACTATAGGTCAAGTCCCGGATTTTTAGTAACGAATAGTAACTAAAATAATATGCGTTTAAAAAATACTTTTTAAAGACAACACTTCTGAACAATACAGTGTCTTGGATGTTACACATGTGCAATGAATTTCTTATTTTATTTTCAAATATTGAAAAAAAAAATTATTTTAAAAATTTTTTTGAGATATCAAAATTTTGTAAATTTTCAAAATTATTTATTCTGTCAATTGATTCATGCATTGTCTCTGACTTTATGCAATTGTGCACAATTTCAGATCAATTGGACAGGTCAAATTGTCTCATATATGAATTATAAGATTTGTGGAAGACGAAATTATTTTTAAATTTTTTTAATAATGGAAAAAAATTTTTTTTAATTGATAAAATTATTTTTTCTGTCAATTGATTCATGCATTGTCTCCAACTTTACGCAAGTGTGCCAAATTGCAGATCGATTGGAAAGGTAGAAGTGTGTTAAATGTCGATTATAAGATTTGTAGCAGACAGACAAACAAACAAGAAGTGAAGTTAAAGAGAAGTGTTGTAATAAAATACTTAAAAAAACAACTTTTAAAACAACCACGTTTTTCTTGTGGACTAAAAAGTAGAAAATAAATTATGGCTCGCCCCAATAAACGTGGGTCGGGCTGTACGTTCACCATCAAATTTCCAAAATTCGTGTGTTGTGTGCTTTTCGCTTTAATCATAAATCCTGTCTCTTATACACATCTAGATGTGTATAAGAGACAGGCCCAAATGAGGGCAAATAGACGGAACACGTCCAACGTTACATCCGACGACGACTCGGAGACGGAGGACGACGAAGGCGGCGCATCAGCGTGACCGTGGACTACGACGTCCTAAACTCATCACAAGGTCACAAGGTGAAATAATATTGGCAGTACGCCGACGACTTGGCCACGTTTTATTAGAGTAGAAACGGACTACACGACAGAAATGTTATTTGTTCATATCAAGAAGTACACAAACGTGGGTACAAAAGCTCCTATGTACAAGGGTCATTAAATCGGTACTAATTCAACAATAGACAAAAGAAGAGATGAGCTCACATAAAAAACATTCAAACTAAGTGCTAAGTAGAAATAGATAAACCTAAGAACAGAATAAGTGAGTTAACTTAGGCTAATGATTAATGACGTGGATACGAGCCACGCACGACTCGCATCAACGAGCAAGTCTGAACCTCATTGTGACTAGGAGTGTTAAGGTTAACTACGTTTGAGCCCAGCGTTAAACTTTCTCATTAGGATTATCAAAAAATTAACTAACACGATATTTAATTACTTTGAATCATTGTAGAAGTCAAGTTATTAGAGCTTATTCATGACAATTCGAATACATCATAGAAACATCAATTTCTAAAACCATTTTTTGGGAAAAGTAAACGTCGGTTAACTCATATACGCTAAAAAACGTACCTACATGTTACAGTAATAGGCAAGACTCCCTTAGCACAGTAACTAAACATCAAAAAGCACATGATTTAGGTAAATTAGTAACATAATTTGCCCTAAATTAGTTCAGTTCACAAGGCGAAATGAATGTAGAAACGCAAGAAATTTACCGTCTAACACAAAGCAAAAAAGCGTTTTTGAAAAAAGACACTGCCTAATTATTTACACTAAAACATTAATAGGAATTCTATACGCTAGAAAGCCTGATGCAGAGAGCGCGGGCACAGAACAAGCGTTTCTACTTCGATCGTTTTCCCGCCAAAAGTGCCTCTAATTTAATAGAGTTGTCGTATAACTTTGAAACCAAGTGATATGATTTCCTGCATGATTTTCAGAGCTCCAGAAAGAAAAAGATCTCCAACGATTTCTTACTTCCAACGCAAGTCTAAGAGTTGAACGGTCATCGCGAAGCCTATACTGCCATTCCTGACTTGAAGTGCCTAAAACATAAAAACTTGAAGCACAGACAACCAACGATTACTGAATTTATTTGCTGAAATTTGCCAAATAATGTTTTTCAATCGTGATAGAATGCCACTGGTATTTTCAGCATCATACAAATAGGATTTTGCAACGGATGCCACCATCATAGAGCCATATTAACTACCAGCAACAAATTGCTCCACATCCTCGTTTGAACGGAAAAATTAAATAGAAATAACTATATGGATGCAGTCACGGCTTTCGCCAGCGACTTAGTCGTTGTTACACTTGTCACACGATACTGACGCTTGTTAAGACATGCGACCAAACATAATATGAACTAATAATAACTATTCCTTCATAGAGACATAGACTGGTCAAAATTTACCTCACTGTTAAGGACCCGGTCTGGAAATCACTACGCAAACCAGAACTGCAGCTCCGCACACAAATGAGGCATGAAATTGTAATACAATAACCCTATAATGAAATTGTGAACTGGCAACATTTGCGCGTTGTCACATTGTAATTGAGAAGCGGGACATGTTACAAGAAACATGGAACAATTAAACGGGGAGTTGAGAAAATATCAAACGCAGAACATAGCAATGCTTCGGTGTCTGGGTTGAAAGAGGGTTGGAATTGAGCCCCATTGCAAGAGGCTGAGTAAAGCGAACTGTAGGGTGTCCTGTGACAGAGGAATGATGGATATGGCTTACAAATTAAATGCTTAACAATTTCGTCCACATAACACACACGAAAAATGAGACAAATCTTTCGGAAGTTTGCAACTTGAAAATAATAAGTTATACGGCTCTCTGATGATAAGAGTTCACTGCTTGAATGCACCCTCTAATGCATCACTGGCTCTCTTCTTAGCAGGTGCTAAAGCCGTCCAGAAATTCGTAACCCGTTCAGAAATTCGTAACGTTCATTGCCTGTTCATATTCTGCGTTGTCGAAGCCGGTTTCCACTTAATTACAAATATTCTACGAAAAAAAAACATTGAAGCTAATGTTGGAATGACATCGCCATGCATCTCCGCTAACAAAATTCTGAGCCGCCCCAGTGCCTGATTAGAGCCGCCTTAGCGCCGGATCTGGCGCCGCTAGATTGTCTGATAAGAAAATCAGACGCCGGGACAGGTTTAAATTCGGTTGCATCGTCAAGGCAAGTTTTGTTCACTACGTCAATTTCCAAAATCGGGGTAAAGCGATCAGTAGTCTCCGAGGAACGACTACGTAATCGGCGCGTAAAATATTCAATAGTGTTTGAAACTATGACTAATCAGTGAAGTACACAAAGATATTTTCTGTTGGCTATAAAGAGATATTTACAAAAAAATTTCTCCAAGAGGAAATGTTGCAACTTCGGGGACATTTTGGCAACAGGTTGCCAGGTGCTATGGTATTCCTACCTGAAATTGTATGTTTCCGTGGAGCAGAAGGTAGCGACTGTAGAAGATAATGACTGTGCGAAATGCACGAGCACGCGTTTTTTTTTTTTCATCACAGAGCTGAAGCAGAGCTTTGTTCTGTGATATGTTGAGGTGAACAGTCAACAGATCAGGTGATGCTGGAATATGAACAGTGATTGCAGTCTATAACAGGAACAGATTTACAGGTAAAATGTTACTTCTCTTAACCCTCTTACTCGGATTTTTTATACTGCACCAAATTATAGGAAGTTTATACACCAATGTGGTCGCATATGGGGATAACATAAATGCCAATGATACACGGATAGAAGAGATTCGAAGGTTCAAAAAATGATTATACATCAGTAAGGATTCAACTGCTGTCAATGAGGTGAAGGATTCAACGTTACAGATTTAGGCTCCATCAAAAAAGCGTTAATTTGTTTCCTGAAATTTCTATACTGGACATTTTTATATTAAACAGAAGATATTTCACGGTTCGTGGTTGCGGATGAAGCGGCCTGGGCTCGGGGTTGACGAGTGAGCAGCACGCGCGATTTGAACAGGAATTGAACTTGTGACGACTTGAATTCATGAACTTCATTCATCAAATTCGTCAGGCGCAACTAAATAACAGAATTTAAAATATAGAATTTTTACCTGCATGAATAATTTTGGTCAAAAAACAATAAAAAATTATATTGAGAGACCGCCAGTAGTCAGCCGCGCATGCACCGGATGCGAGGACTGGTGTTTCTTCACAATATTGCACCAGTCGGCGTTAACAATCCTAATCGCAACACATAATTATTGTAATAATTAAATAAGACAACGCAATCCCTCACAATTCATTTTTTGCTACCATGTCATTTTCAGCACAAGATGGGAATATCTATTTCTCTACTTACACTTCCATTCCATTAAATTCATCAATAATTTTCCTAAACAAACGGGCTAAAGGGAGCATTACTCATTAGATTCTCTATCTCCAATGATTGTTTTAAACTAAAACGGTCAATCATTGACCTAGTTAAGAGTTATAAGGAACGATGATTATTAAAATTAAGTCCACTGCTTGAGAAACTTGAGACTTCATATCAATTTGGCAGGAGCGACGAGACGGAACAGGAAAGCACGCGACGCAGATACAAAATATGTGGCCTTGCTAACAAATTATTTATGGAGAATTCCTGGAGCAACATCTGACCAATATTTATAAAGCATTTGCGCGGGATGCAAACTTATCAGTTACATCCTTAACCTGAACCATGCCTAATTATTTAATAATCAGGGAGTGAGTGAAGTTAAACGCCTAATCGTCATGGCAACAGCCCGCTTGCAAGAATTGCTCGGGGGAAAAATGTCCTCCAAATAATTCCTACCCGAGTTGTAAGTTTCCCTTATACTTCCTATACTCATTCGTCCTCTTACTCTAAATGTTATTTCTACTGAATTGTAAAGCATTCTGTCCAATACATGGGATTGCAACTCCCATAGGCGATTTCAACCTCAGTGTCGGAGATAAATCTAGGTGGGTTTTCGACGTTACCTCGTCATAATTAAAAAAAAAAAAATTCCCAAACATAGCCAACGTAAAGCAAGCATTATTTCAAACTCACATCGCATGCGCGGCAGAAGACAAACTCGTTTTCATCGAACACAACATAAGATTGTCAGACGACACAAGTCACAAACACGCTTATGGCATCGCTCGTGACCAGCGGCAGCCTAACCTATTCACTTTGTTCCCCAATCCAGCTTGTAAATATAAACATGTTACCCCTTCTCACAAATGTATTCTAACATATAAGGCAAAATAAAAACACTCATACAGAGCGTTACCCCCGAAGGTATAATGGTTCCCACTGGGAACCACAGGGAACCATTGCTCTAGATGCTCTAGACACAGACACAGGCATTGTTATCCTGCGACGAGACTCGCGTGTAGACTTCAGATCTAAACTTCCAGCGCAACGATGATAAAAAATTGAGTTCCCAAGCCATAAATGTCCGTAAGCAGAGCCAACAACTTTCTTTTAGCGACGGAAAAACAGTAAATAATTCAACGAAACAATAAATTGAAACGAATAGATAGCACCAAAGCAGTTAAACATAAATGCAGACGGGGAATTGAGACAGAACTAAGTATATTATGAACAAACTGAAGAAAATCTATAAGAAACTAGCACCAAATTAAGTCGAAGCTGAAGTGACTAAAGCAGTATTGGCACAACGAAGTCGCGATATTAACAGATGACGTCTCGCTTCCTTAAACAGCAAAACAGATCCAATAACACGTAAACCAGCGATGGCGGGTCTATAGATGCAGGCGAGCAGTTATAAAATACTATTGATAATCTGTCCAATACTGGCAGGCAATATCAACACCCAGTGCCCGCCCTCCTGACCATGAGGACACCAAAGCTGACAGAAAAAAATAATGCTGGTGAGGCGTTGATGCGAGAAACAAAGAAACGCAAGCTATTTTGAGTAACATTAACTGCTGTAGATATGACAAGTAGAACATAATTATTGGTACACTCCAAACATTGGTTCGCTCTACCAAACATTGGTTCGCTTTACCAAACGTTTTTCGCTCTACCGAACGTTTTTCGCTCTACCGAACGTTGGTTCACTCTATCCGAACGTTGGGTTCGCTGAACATGCACCACCACGTGTCACCGTCATAAACACCAGCAGTCCCAGAGAAAGCAATCAATTCTCCATTCAAAGGATACATAAACAGCAAAAGAGACGATATCGCCAGTCCGGTAGCGGATTTTGACTCTGGAAAAAGTCGTTACCAGAGGGAAGGTGAATTGTCAATACATAAATGACGAGCAGTCAGGCTCCTACGCGGCATTCTCAGAACTTATATCGTCTCATGTCTTGTATATATGACAGCTTTTGTCTGATCATTTTGGTTGTATGATAACATCTCGAGACGCGTTAACGGTCACGACCGTTAAAATTTATTCTTCTGGTGAGCGGGTAAAAAAATTTGTGTGGCTTGGAGGAGGGATGAGAATCTAGGTACAGTCTAGGAAGCATTAAATTAACTCTAAATCCTTTGTACTATCACACTAAAAACGGGGTACGGGGCACACAAAGTTTTCTACATTCCTCACTTTGAAAAACTCGTCCGTGACACGAACAGCACAAGGGCGTGGAAAACGAGTCCCGACTACAAATTCAACAAACTCGAGGAAAAACTCAGCCCACAATCTGAAAACTGCGTCTTAAGAAAGTTTGTGCTGAGGTCGAAAAGTAAGTCGTATGTACACTAAAGCCGCGTATCACGAAGGTAATGCCTACCTCATTTAGGGATAGCATAATTAGGTAAAAATTATTCACGTATTTTTAGGCAAGTCAGTAAAAAAATAATTACAATTTCTCACATTTACAGCAAATTTTCGGTAGATTTTCATGTTTAAAGTCCTTATATACTTTGCTAGAGAAAGAAATGCTTTCCAGGCAAGAAACAAACCCAGAAAACATTCATTTATTCTCGGTCATGTGGCGAGGGGAGGAGGGAATGGAACAGAGAAATCGTCTGCGGTGAACAGAGCGACAGCGCGGCCAAACCTAAGCCAATAGTTAAGGAAGCAGCGACACTAACTCGACACAAACTAACCAACACACGAGATGTTCGCAACATCATTGCAACACCGACTACCGGAGTGACGCTCGCGTCCTGCAGCTAACGTACTCGCTCTCCTATTATATGTTATCTAAACCCTTACTGTCAATGTACTCTATGAGAGCCTTGTAGCAGAACTCGTACTGCGTGGGCTCCTGTAGCATAAACTGCCTCATTGAACGGATCTTGCGCGCGATTTGGAACACGTCGACGCGCGCCTCACGACGCAGTTGACGAAGGCAGTTATTGAGACAGACGTAAACACTGCAGCGGTCACCCCCTCCACTGCAGTGCAGCACTACAGGTGCAGGCATGCTGGAGGATAAGTTGGCGTGGATGTGACTGTGCACGCGGTTGATCAGCTCCATGATGCCGTACGTGCCCACGGGCACCTCGCCCATCTGACCGGACCAGCCCACGTACTGGAACTGAGTCACCTGACGACCACCTCCGTTCTTGGAGTGGCTCACCTGTAAAATGGAATTATGTCAGGGTGAAATGCGCTGACCGAGCAACACAATCGAGAAAACTGTCTTAAGAAGTTCAAGTATCCTCATCTGTACCCTAATATCACCTTACTGAAACAGCAAAGAGTCAGAGGAAAAATTCGTTCGGCAACACATTCGAGAGAATTTCGCTATGAACTTAAAATCGAACAATGTCAGGAAAAATTCTTTAACTCTACAACACAATCGTGAGAAATTTTTAAATAAATTCAACTTCTACATGTGTACTTGTACAGATGGATAACCTTTGAAGCGTCTATCTTCCCTCAGAAAACTTTCCCTCGTATTCCTCTGCTAAACATATTTAATGCGTGTCGCGTGGCAGCTAGCAGGTACAAATTGCATGACACAGAATGTCCTTCAGGTCACAGCGGCCCAAATACAAACCAAATATTCGCTATAATAATGTAGAAATTGACTAGTGTGGTTTCAAAGCGTTGTGGCTAAGCAAACTTTACTTGACAATACAAGAAACAATGCCACGCAATGTCTCAAAAGTGAACGATACATTTTACGTTTCTAACTCAAACACCCACAGGAAAGAAAAAGCTTCAACACTGAAGAAATATCCATGTACGCTGAAAAAGGTCGAGCTCGGCATCGACATGGTCAAAATTAAACATAGTAATGCTGTAAATGTTACCCGGTCTACCTGGAAAACGGACTAGACGAAGACGTGGTAGAAATTGAACATTAAATACAACAAGTATAAACCCTTGTTACCTGGAACACTCGACTGGAGAACTTGGGGTAGCTCTCACTGGAGATGAGCTTGACGATGACATTGTCATGCTGAGCCTCTTCGTCGTCTTCAGGCCAATACCGCGCACACAAGTCGTCGCCGCTTCCCAGCTCCGACAGCATGACGATGGTCGTAACGTCTTGTTCGAATATCATCCGCCAGAAGTCGGACACGGTGTTCTCTAGAGGGTCCTGTGTCACGATGAAGTACTCATCGAGGTCAAAGCCGCTCACGAAGGAGGCGTTGATGTAGGTGTTGACGGGCTTACCCGCGACGGGGGAGAGGATGACGCGGTTGGAGTCGTAAGGAAGAACGTAGTCGTAGCGGTTACGGCTTTTGTTTTCCTCGCTGGTGGCGATGGTGAACGCCTTTCGTTCCTCGATGACCTTACTCAACAAATCAAACTCTGTGAAGAGGATGGGGGAGGCGTGTTGCTGTTGAACCTGATTGACGTGTTTGACGTAAGCCTCGCGCAGCTGCTGCGGTGTTTGTTCAGTGCTACCGAACTGAGCATATTCCATGAGCGCGCGATGGATGAACACATACTGCTTCAGCGACTGCACCAGGAAGTTGCGTTGGTGTCGCAAGTCACAAATGAGGTTGTACACGGACGCTTGCTTCTCGTCATCCAGCTCCATGACAAGCGAGTCTAGGGCCACCAAGGTGCCTGTGCGCCCAACCCCAGCACTGCAGTGCACCAGTAGCGGTCCTTTTTCATGGGAATGCGCCTCATTCATACGTCGTAGGAAGGCCAGGATCCCTACCGGGTGTTCAGGAGCCACGAAGTCCTTCCACATGAGGTAGTGGTACTGCTCCACCTCGTGGTACTTGAGCTCCTCGCTCACGGAGCCTGAGTTTGAGTGGTTTGTGTTGGAGGCGTTCGATGTGTTGGTGCTGGTGCTGCCCTCGCCCCCCACCACGTTCTTGTTGGTGAGGTCCACACTTGAGCCCACACTCGGCACCAACCACTCGGCGCGGAGTGTGCGAACGATGTAGTCTGCACAAAAATCACGTTGGCTATGACATGTTCATGGTTATGCTCGAGCTTACGACGTTCTTGTCACGGGAATAATGAATGATCTATCTTTGAGGTATGAATGATCTATCTTCTTAAAGATTAATGCTAAATCTATGATCCTTCAGTAAGTCCCAAACTATTTCCAAACCTCCATAATGAAATTAAATGCTACAGTAGATAAGTAATATCAGACCAGACCTACAAGATAAAACTTGGCGCCATATTGGTACAGTAAATCAACCCAGACATAACAGTAATGAAAGAAAATGAATGGCATGAAATACAAGGCCAAACAAAAGGACGGTAAGTAATAAGACATGAACCACTTGTGATGAACATAATGACAAGAACTACCAGTGATGAACATAATGACAAGAACTACCAGTGATGAACATCATGACATGAACCTCCAGTGATGAACATCATGACATGAACTACCAGTGATGAACATAGGTTGGTGAGCATCACGCATATCCCGCAGCCCTGGTCCACGATCATGCGCCAGAAGTCGTCCACCGTCGCGTCCATGGGACCTGCACACGTCAAACTGTGATAAGTTCATGTCTAACATCGCAATCCTAGCATATCTTTCAGGGCGTGACAATACCTCCTCTTTTTAGACGGGATATCGCTCACCCTGGGCACAATATGCTGGCACATCACTCACCCTGGGCACAAATGAACTTCTTCCTCTCCTTGTAGCCGAGCACATAGTTAGCGTTGATGTAGTCGGAAGGATGTGCCGCGGATGTGCTGAGTTTGACGCGCGTTTGGTCGTAGGCTTTGATGTCAGGGTATCTGTTTTTGCTGCTGTTCTCGAACATCTCGGAGACGCGCGTGCTCCGGTCCACAAACTTCTCAGGAAGCGCCTGGGAAGACAGATTATCATCGCAGCACAAATCGTGAGACATGTAACAGGTAACACACATACCTCGCAGGTAAACAGGCAACAAGCACCTCATATGTGAAACAGGCAACACGCACCTCATACGTGAACAGGCAACAAGCACCTCATACGTGAAACAGGCAACACGCAACACGCACCTCATAAGCAAAACAAGCAACATGTACTGCAGAGTGGAATTCTAGGAATGTGGGTTCAAGATCGATCCAGCCAAGTAGCATGATCAGTTCCAAAATATTAGCTAAATATAAAGTAAAAATAATTACAAATTTTCAGATCCAATACGATATGTACACATGTTCATAGATTAACCCTCATAAATTCAAGCCTGATGTACTTTTTAGGTAAGTCAGGTAACAAGCATTTCATGCCAGAAACAGGCAAACACGTACCTCATATTCACGCCGAAAGCCAAGCTCAGAGTCCTTGATATTCTCGAGGTAAACTTGCACGAGGTCGTCCTTGGCGATGGGCTTGACTTCGATGCAGTTTTGTGAAAGCAGCGTATTGGACTTACGCAGCGACCTGAACAGCTTACGCCTGCAACAAGTGTATGTAGTTAGAAGCAGCAGCGTATTAGACGCACACAGCAATCTGCACAGCTTACACCTGCAACAAGTGTACGCAGTTAGAAGCAGCAGCGTATTTGACTTAAAGGGCTCCGACATGACGGGGTGAACAACGTTGAAGTATTCAGAGTAGCTGTGCAGCGGCCCCTCCTTCTCAGAGTTGACTGTCGGGGGAGAGACGAGTTAGATCAGAGTGACGTGTTAGATCAGAGTGACGTGTTAGATCAGAGTGACGTGTTAGATCAGAGTGACGTGTTAGATCAGAGTGACGTGTTAGATCAGAGTGACATCTTAGATCAGAGTGACGTGTTAGATCAGAGTATTAAAACTATCGTACCAACAGTTTTAACCAAATACGTGAAGTAGTACTGCCGTAATATATAGGTACACTTGCTCACAAGCTCCTATACCTACATGTTCCTGTTCCATCTGTAAAATACATGCTGGTTGTACAAAACATTTCTTTAAGACTGGAAATTTTTTCTTCAACATGTTGCTTCCATCACAGGCAGCAACACCAGCCACAAGCATCATTAACATCAACAAGCATCACCACCATTAACATCAACAAGTTTCAACACCATGAAGATCAACAAACATCAACGCCATCGACATCAACATCATCAACAACCATCACCACCATGCACATCAACAAATATCAACATCATCAACAATCATCACCACCATCACTATGGTGCAGTAGTCACCCGTAAGGATGAGGTAGCCCGTGTAGTTGTGGTCCGTGGAGAAGGCCCCGTCCACGACCTGCAGGAAGCTTGGGTCGGGGGACCTCTTGACCACCACCTTGGCGGGTGGTGGGGTGGCGGTTGTGGTGGTGGTGGTTGTAGTGTCAGGGATAGGGGAAGAAGGGCTAGGTGGTGGTGGTGGTGATGATGGTCTAGTAGTAGGTATTAGTGTGGTGGTGGGAGGAGGTGAGGTGATGGGGGTGGGTTCAGTAGGAGGGGAGGAGGGGGATGTGGGGTATTGTATGCAGGCCCCGCAGCCCTGGGACCAGTTGCCCCCCACGGTCCTGTTGTCCCCCAGCAGGAGGTAGCGGTCGCTCGTCCTGTTGGCAACCGAGGAGTTAATTATTGGAGTGATAGGTTTACATTTAATATATTTGTATACTATACTACAATTTTTATTTTTTTGTATACTATACAATAAAATATAAGTATTAAATAACCCAAAATATATAAATCAAAATTATTGAAGACCGAAATTATTGAAGACCAAGGCTGAGAAAACAATTCGGCATAGTACTGGAAAATAGATTAAAAGTACATGGGCATTAACAACTTATTGAAGAGCCCCCAAAGCATGGGACTATTCAACAAAAGTTAATGAAATAACAAAAGTATAAATAATTTGCTTCATATACAATACAAACAAGGTAAAATAAGGAAAAAAGAACGACCATCGCTTCAGTTAGTGGACAAGCGGCCGTACTATCAATAGTAGGTAACTCAGAGAGCGGCAGGAAGTAAGAAGTAAGAAACAAGTCCAAATTAACGTTCATCATTGAATAACAGCACAAAACATTGGTGATCATGACGCCTCCCGATGATACCTATAGGCGTACAAATCATCATTCATTCAACACAAATCGACAAAAAATCAATTCAAAACAATAAAAAATTACCGTTGGCTGAGCTTGCCGCTTTCCAGCTGAACTTTCCACTTGTGTAGTTTCCTTGCAGGTCATGAGAGCTCACTAGCACTGGCATGCACTAGCACTAACATCCACTAGCATTCACCAGCACTGGCATGTGTTAGCATCATCTTATAGGCTAGAATTAAGTGCATTAGAACTATCTACTGAAATAAAGAAAAGTTATTTTAAGCCAAGATTGTCTAGCATTAAGTGACCAGAAGCCAGCATTGTAACTAGAATTAACTAGGTTCCTAGAGTAAGTAGACGTGAACTAGGCACCTAGAGTTCAGTTCTAAGGTTGAAAATAAACTGCAGGCAAATCTGTGGGAAGATAGGAAAGATTTAGCAAAATTAACTTGTGAACAAACACGTGCAAACTACTGAGAACGAGGTAAATATTTTTGAAATAATCATAAAAAAATAATATTATGCTCCCTCATCCCCCTAACCCTCCCCAGCAGTGGCGCATCAGACCCCACCTCCCCAGCTGTTGGGGGTCAGACCCCAACTCCCCAGCTGTGCCGTATCAGACCCCACCTCCCCAGTTCAGTTCAGTTCAGTTCTCTCCGCGCCATAAGGCGCACAAGGCTTGGACGTCACTACCTCCCCAGTAGTTGGGGGTCAAACCCCACATCCCCAGCTGTGTCGTCAGATATGTCATTTAAAACTTAAATAATAGAAACAGATCAGCATTTAACATGGAATTAATTAACAAGATATAGCAGTGCATTAGTAAACAGGAGCATAAGAACAGGAAACAATTAACAGAACAGAGTCAGGCTCAAGATACGCTAGGATACAATGTATGTGTCGTGTCGAAATCGCGGGATTGCCGATTCTATGGAATCGGCAGCCAATTGTCGAATTTTTTTAATCAGCATTTCGTTGCAGATTCAGAAAATCGGACGGTTAGAGTTAGAGTTAGAACGTAAGTCGACAGTTTAGAGTCAGAAAAGGTTAGGTCAAGTTCGGTCAGGTTCCTTCATATTTATATATAAAAAAAATTGGCCGACTGACTTAACCCCAGATTCCCGTAGTATAGAAATGCTGATTTTACAGATACAGCAAACTGGCTGCCGATTCCATAGAATCGGCAATACGCGATTTCGTCACGGCACATACAATAACAGCGACTATCATTCATATCCATCATTCATGCGTGGCGATGTTAGGTGATACTTACCTCAACTGTTGCAAGGGGTTCTTAGGTACGAATAGCATTAACAACAGATAACAACTGTAGACAAAGTGTTGACTCTCTGTCTGGCCTATAGGTACGAATAGCATTAACAGATAACAACCATAGACAAAGTGTTAACTCTCTGTTCTTTAACATTAACTCTCGTTACCAGGCCTTTAGGTACGAATAGAACTGACACGCAACGCTCTCACCTGTACTTCTTATCTTTCTCTCTCTTTTTCTTTTTTATTACGAAATGTTTTACAATACTTAGCACCTAATGACTACTAATTAGCTACGGGGCTAGTAATGAATCAATAATAAAAAGAACATTAATAAGGCACTAGTTACATGACACTAATACTAGTTACGAGACAATAATAACGAGACTAGTGAATAACCACTAGTAACGAAACTAGTAGTACTAATAAAACAAAGATAAAAGCCACTAGGCAGCATTAAACAGCAATGCTGCACTAGTCCCTAGCCACCAGGTGACCTGGTGTAGGCCTCAGCGACGTAGGCGGCGGTGGCGGGGCGGCGGTGGGCGATGGCGTGCGTCACCAGCGGCAGGTCCGCGGGACGTCCCAGCGACGACGCGTCCCTCCCGCGTCCCAGCTTCACCACCACGATCCTGAGGGGCGGGGGGGCGGTTAGGGTGGTGGTGGTGGTGGTGTTGGTGGTGCCGGTGGTGGTGGTGGAGTGATGGT